AGGCCTGGAGGCCTAGGGGACACTCAGATCCCTGACTGGGGGCAGCCCGGGCTGGGGGGCCCTGGCTGAAGGGCAGGAATGGGGTAGTTCAGGCATTCCAATTCCAGACGCACCTCCAGGTGCGGGTGTGGGCTGTCGGGCCCTTCTGGAGCACCCCTACCCCACGAAACAGGCTTATCCCAGGTCTTGCAGTGGGCAGTGGCTCTTCCTGGGTCTGGCCTGCCCTTTGGAGTGAGCCTCGGAAGAGGAGGTTCGGCCCCCTTTCGCTCCCATGCTTAGTGCAGGGACTTTGCCTGGGAGTGAGGCTGACACCAATTGGACTGCGGGGGGCGGGGGGGGGGGGTGCAGGGAGATCAGGACTCAAAAATGGGGGAGGAGAGTGTCAGAGGGTGGAACTCAGCTCAGTTTGGAGCTCCCACCACCTGGTTCCTAGGGCCCACAGACACGCAGGGGCGCCGAGGCTTCACGGCAGAAAAATTATTGCTGGAACTTGGAGAGGAGCTGCTGGAGTGTCTTCCTGGGTCTGGCCTCCAGCCTGGCTGGGGCTGATAGTTCATGAGGGAAGCATCAGGAGCTGGGAAGCGCCAGTGAGCTGCGCTGGGTCGATGTTCCTTTTACCACTCAGGGACAGTGCTGCCTCCTGGGCAGCCCGGGCTCTAGCCTGGGTGGCCAAGATTCCCTCGTGATGTGCCTGGGCTCCCTCCTAGGCTGCCCTTGCTTCCTCCTGGGCACCCCTCACTTCCTCCTGGACACCCCTCACTTCCTTCTGGACACCTCTCACTTCCTTCTGGGCACCCCTCACTTTTTCTTGGACATCCCTCACTTCTTCCTTGACACCCCTCACTTCCTCCTGGACATCCCTCACTTCTTCCTGGACACCCCTCACTTCCTCCTGGACACCCCTCACTTCCTTCTGGACACCTCTCACTTCCTTCTGGGCACCCCTCACTTTCTCTTGGACATCCCTCACTTCCTCCTGGGCACCCCTCACTTCCTCCTGGACATCCCTCACTTCTTCCTGGACACCCCTCACTTCCTCCTGGACACCCCTCACTTCCTCCTGGGCACCCCTCACTTCCTCCTGGACATCCCTCACTTCCTCCTGGACACCCCTCACTTCCTCCTGGACACCCCTCACTTCCTCCTGGACACCCCTCACTTCCTCCTGGACACCCCTCACTTCCTCCTGGATGACCTTCTTTTCCTCCTCGAAGGCCTTTGAGTCCTCCTGGTCGACCTCCACTTCCTCCCCAACAGCACTCATTTCCTCCTGGAAGAGCTTCACTTCCTCCTGGATGACCTTCACTTCCTCCTGGACTGTCCTCACTTCCTCCTGGACAACCTTCACTTGTTCCTGGACAGCCTTCACTTTGTCCTTCAGACACTTATAGAATGAGCTGGACTAGAACAAAGAGTGACAGGGGTCGGGGTGGGGAGAGGACCCCGGGCGGGACTAGCTGAGGCCCTCCGCGGGAGAGCCAGGCTGGGCGGGAAGGAATCAGGACAAAGGGAGAGGGCCCTGATCTGAGGGTCTCACCAGGTCTTGTAGCTTCAGCCCCAGAGCCAGGTTGTCTGCTAGGTTAATGCTTAGCAACTTCTGAAGCCTGGGGTTGACACAGAGACTCCCTTCAGCCCCAGGCTCTTGTCCCAGCACCCCCCCCCACTCCCCAGACGTGCTGCCTGAGCTGCTAGACCCAGTGATCAGGCATGCGGGCCCACACTTGATGGGCAGGAGAGAGCAGGCTGGGCAGAGCAGGCAGGACCTGCTCACAGACGAGGAAACTCACCAATGCTTAGGAGGAAAGGGGCTCTCCCCCCCTTGGGGGGGCACTGAGAGGGCAAGTGAAGGTGCAAACCTCTAGCTCTCAAGCCCAGGGCCTGAGCCCCCGGGGACAGGGTTGGCGCCCTACCTGCCCCCTGGGCCGGCTCACCTCACGCAGTCATCCCGCAGGTCTCTGAACTCCTTCACGGTGCGCTGGGGGCCCCAGTCGTCCTTCCCCAGGAGCTGGTGCTCCTGAATCTCCCAGTACCTGGTGCAGTGAGTGTTGGACTAAAGGGTCTTGACCCGGAGGGGGAGTTTAGAGGGTCTGGGGCTCCTCCAGGCCTGTCTGGACGGCCCCTCTGCACACCCCAGGCTTGAGTGCTGGCCAGGTCTGAATGCTGGTGGATGGGGGAGCACCTGTGCCCCCCGTCCTGTGCACACTCACACAGCCTTACCTTTCAGAGTCTTTGGGCTCCGGGGGCTCCTCCGTGTTCAGGAGTGTAAACAGGAAGTTGACCGTGGGTTCTGGCTGCAGGTCCAGCTTTTGCTCTGGGGATGGCTGCTGAGGCAGAGATGGTGTCTGTCGTGGAGACAGAAGTGGCATGAGGGTGGCCGCCAGGAAGCCTGACTCCTCCCACATCCAACAGAAAGATGGTGGGTGCAATGGCAGGGATTCCGATCCTCCACCCAGGCCGGAGAAGGAGGATTTCTCCACCCCCTGCCACCTCTACCCTCTGGCTTAGGAGGTCCTGGTGCTTTCTGTCACCTTTGTGACCTGCTCCTTGGAGTCCTGAGAAATTTCTGGCTTCTGCTCCTGAGCAGACTGCACTCCTGGCTCCTTGACGGGCTTGGAGGATTTTTGTTTGCCCCTGGGGCCCTGAGGGAGAGAGACAGAAGGGCAGTTGGGACAGCCTCCAACCTGGAGAGTCCTCACCACCAGCAAACCAGATTTTGCAAATAAAATACAAAACACTCAGTGACATCTGAATTTCAGATGAAAAAGGGTCACTTTGAAGAAGTATAATTATGTTCTATGCAATGTTTGGAGTGTGTAAAAAATGATTATGTGAAAATCAAATGTCATTGGGTTTATCTGGCAACACTACCCAAAATATATGCCAACAGTGGTTCTTAAGCTAAATCCCTGCAAATGCAAAATGTGGGGGCTGGAGGGACGCAGGCAGGGGTGCAGGAATGGGACATCAGCACTACTTAAGGGAGTTCTATAGAAGGTTTCTCGCATTTTGTGAGAAATCATCAATGAGAAGCTTATCCAAAGCAAGCCGTGTGGCATTCGAGATCCGCATTCCCTTCTTTCGCAGGATTCTAACCTGAATTCTCCACTGTCCCAGAACAAGCCTCTGCTCACACCAGCCAGGAGCCTCCTGTCCCCACACCAACCTGAACTGCCCCCCTGCAGTGTCCCTGCCCCAGCTTCTGCCTTCACCCTGACCCTCCCTCCCTCTCTTCAGATCAGAACTCAGCCCTCACTTTCTCTGCGTAGCTACCATGTCCCCCTGGACAGGTGGGCCCGCAGCGGAGCCAGCGCCCAGCTGCCGGCTGGTAAGGATACCCGAGGCTGGGAGCTGTCCCGGGTTTTGATCTGTCCCCCGGGGAGCTGGCAGAGCATAACCAGATCCACAAAGGCGGACATGTGGGGGTCGAGGACAGATCTGAGAGTGTGTTCCACCCTCGGGGAGCTGAGATTACTGTACAGATGTGTGTGCTGAATCACCAGACGAGAGCTGAGGGCGCAGCGACGCGGGTATGTGCAGGCATCGGGAAGTTAAGACGCGGAGAGGTCGGCTCTACCTGGGGTAACGTGTGTTAGTTCAGCTCACCCTCGCCGTAACACCATGGGGCCGGCACTGCCGTTCTTCCCATTTTACAAATAAGAAAACGGAAGATTTGGGGCCTCCCCGGTGGCGCAGCGGTTGAGCGCTGGGTTGCGAGGCTGCCCGCAACCTCTGCAGCGCCGGTTCGATCCCCGGCCACACAGCTAGAAAAGGGCAGTGCCAGGACACAAATCCTCTTGGGCGCTGGACTCTGCTCTTACCCATGGGCTGGGGCACATGTGCCAGAGGGTGGACTCCTGCAGCGCGCCTGAGCCTGGAGGCTGGGCTGTAGGGGCGGCGTCCCTCAGAGATGAGAAGCAGCTATGGCGGGGGCTACGCGAGGACAAGTGGCCACACACACGCAGGACCACGAGACGACGCCCGAGAGAGCCCAAAGAGAAAGAAAAGAGCAAAGAATCACCGGGGCCTGGGAGGCCCGCCCGCCTCCCAACTCTCCCGGCCTCCCTGCCTTAGCAGCCTGCGGGCTCGCCCCACAAGAATAGGCATAGAAAGAGCATCAAAGCCTGAAAAAGCCACGGAGGGCTCCGGGGCGCTCCTTCACCCGCCTGCCCTGCGCTTGCTGAGCGCATCACTCTACCCGGGAGGGGCGGGGGAGCGGCAGGACAGGCTGGACCAAGGAGATGCGCCAGCCCAGCCGGGAGACCTGACTGACGTGGGACCCAGCCCAAGAGGCAGGAGCCGGGAGGAGCAAAACCTGGGAGGCCGAGCTTCACAGCTCCAGGGGCTCAGGGGCCTTAAGACCCGGGGCGTGGCCCGCAGCCGGGGAGTGGAGAGAAGCGACAGAGTCTGCACGGCCCTGAAGGAGAGGGGGTCGGGACTGCAAACAGGGAGGGAAAACAGCGCCGGTTTCCAGTTGATTTGGAAGGAGACGGGAGTCGCAGGACACCCAGGAGCAAGATTCAAAGGCAGGACGTGCCATGAGGCTCATTCCCGTCTCCTCCCCCCAACCCCGGGGCTGAATCCTCCTTTCTCCCTCCCTCTTCCTGGCTCCTACTCCGGGTGGGAATCTGACCAGCTGAACCCAGGGGGTCCACACCCCGGTGCAGGGCTGGGGGAGCAGGGGTGTGGCCACTTTATGGCCCGGGAGGGAGAGGGGTCCCTGCAGCCGGCAGACTTGTGGAGGCTGAGGTGGGCAACCCAAACCCCACAGCCATCCACGGCACCGCATCACAATGGGACACGCCAGAGTTTTTGGAAAAAAGTATTTATTGTGGCAAAACGTGTAATAAAATGTACCATTTGAAGTGTGCAGTTCCGTGCCACCAAGTGCGGTCCCTTACCAGGCAGCCATGGCCACCCAAGGCCAGGGCATAACCTTCCCTTACCAAAACCACTCCCATCAAACTACCCACTCTGCCCTCCCACTACCCCAGCCCCCATTTTTCTCCCTTCCGTCTTCGCGGACGTGGTTAGGTACCTCCTGTAATTGTAAGTGGAGTCATAGAGTTTGTCCGTTCATGTCTGGCTCATTTAGCATATTTTCAAGGTTCATCTAAGTGGTAGCTTGAATCAGAATGTTCTTCCTTTTCAAGGTTAAATAACACTCCATTCCACGCACATACTGTGTTTTATCCATGAACCGCAGATGCACACTTGTGTTGTCTCCACCATGTGGCTGTTGTGTATAGTGCTGGGTATACACAAGTATCTTTGAGCCGCTGCTTTCAATTTTTTTTTTTTAGAAGATTTATTCATGCATACAAGAGCTGGGGTACAGGCCAGAGATGCGGGGGTGGGGTGGGGTGAGAGGACTCACCAGAGACAGAGTGGGAAACAGAACAGGCAACTGACTGAAATACACTGCTGAGGGGAGCAGCGGGGAGACAGGAGAGGTCTGCTGCGCCATGTGGGTTGCTCCCTGGCTGGGGATCGAACTTGAGCTGCAGAGGCTGCGGACAGCTTCATAGTGCTGACTCTTAACCCCTTGCACCACCAGGGAGGTGCAGGACTCCTTTCTGCAGGAGGCCCTGGCTTGGAGTGCAAGACTGCACAGAGATGATGCGGGAGGGGCGCCGAGTTTCCACGCGGCTACCCCCACACAAAGGACAACTAATGACCCAGCTCTAAGAGGTCCTGGCCTCTTGGGCCTACCCCCCAGTCCCCCCAGCCTTTGACCCAGTAAAGGAAATACAATGTAGAAACAGGAAGAAACTCTTTAATCAGCTTATATTAAAAAGAAATCATAAATTTCCCTTAAAACTCTACATTCTTAAGTTTTTTGGGGTCAGAGTTTGCAGCAATAACATGAACTAACTCAACACCATCTGGCCACTCCGATTCTGCAGAACTAAGCAAGACTCTCTGGAGTGCTGCCCACCGGTCAGGAAGGACAGGAATTCTTCGGGTGCGACTTCGGGTGCATCTGGACACACCCTGGCGAGGTGGCTTACTTGCAGAGTCTGACAAAGTTCGAAGCATCTAACAGGTTCTCTGGCACTCGCAGGCCAGGGATCAGCCTGCACCACACTGCCATGTGTCCCAGAAGCAGCCATTCCCCCAGCGCGCTCGCCACTGCCACCCTTCTGCAGCCCTTTGTCTCGGAGGGCAGCAAGTGCGAGCTGTGGGCAGCCTTTGAAAGCACAGCTGAGGAAGGGTAAATGATGGGGAAGGTTCCCTGGAGACAATGAGTCACCCGTCTCACCAATTCAACTCCTAGCACCCCCCTCAGGCAGCTTTTCACAGGAGAGGACACCAGAGCTGAAAGGTAAAACTGCTGTCTATCCTGCCACCATCTTGGCACACGAGAAAAGCCTTCTAGAACTTTACTAATGCAGCTGCAAGACACTAGTGGATCAGTACCCTCAGCCCACGTTTTTCTTCCAAGTTGCCAGATTGTCCATTTGACTTTGTACAGAAGGCGTCAGGGAGGGGGTGGGTGTGGCAACACCCCCGCACCTGCAGTGATGTGGTAAGGCCCTGGCCCAGCCCCATGAGGGCTTCTGAGCCCGACACCCTGAATCTGGAGTCACACCCTGAAATACACCCTCGTGCCCCAAGCAGCAGGTGCACCACCAGCCTGGTAGTCCACCAGACACCCCAAGAGCAGAACACAGAGCCATACAGCACAGCTTGCGTGTGGCAGACACGGAGGGCCAGAGACCCAGCAAGGTTTCCCGCCTTCCTTCACACCCAGACCGCAGGCTGAGTCCCCGCGTCTTCCGCAAGGCCCCCAGACTTGCCAGGACATTGGAGCATCTCAGAGGAAACCCAAGCCTCCCTCCACAGGTGGGCTTTGGGCCGGGAACCCAGCTGCTCACGGGGCAAGTCCAGGGCCATGCGGGAGCAGCCACCTTTCCCAGCAAGGGCAGGACTCCCCGCCCCAAAGCCTCTGCTGGCCGGGCCAGTGGTTCCTGCTCCTGAGTCTGTGGCCCAAATGGAAACTGGCTGAAGATCTGGAAGGCAGGTAGGAGGAGGGCGCCATGCGTGGCAGAGCCAGGAGGGCCCGTGGCAGAGCCAGGAGAGCCCGTTTCCTGAAGCTGAGATGATAGGCCTCAATGCAGCAACAGCTCACAGGCAGGGGAGGAGCCCCAAGAGTCCTTCACAGGGAGGGTGCTATGGACAGGGGGAGGCGAGGGGAGTTTGGTCAGGCGCGCCCCCATTTCATCTCATTCAACAAGGAGCTCAAACTGCTCAGCAGCTTCAAACTCAGCATTCATGGCTGCAGCCCATTCATCCAGCTCTGATTTCTGGGGGAAAAGAAATGGGTGGGTGAGTAGAGAGGGAATCCCGTGAGCTGGAGCATCTTTACCCACACAGACAGGTGCTGCCTCTCCCCCCAAACAGCCAGCACTGAACCCTAGCCCTGCGCATGTGAGCACATCAGCAAAGGCCCCTGTCCCTCACTCACCAGGATCTCCGGCACCTTCTTCTTCTTCCGTTTCTCCTTCACAACTGGGGGGGAGATTCCAGGAAGATTTGTGTCTGGGACCCAGGGCTTCTCAGGGACCCTGGGGGCCTCGGTTAACTTTGAACACACCACAGGTGAAACTCCAGTCAACTCTTCTTCCCCGAGCAGCCCATCAAAGCCAAAGTAGGACCGGCGGCCAGGGGTGGAGGTGGTAGTGGAGCTGGAGGCTAGGGTCTCCAGCCGGCTGTAGGATCGCCTGACTTTTTTAGACATTTCCAAGTCTCTGGCATCTAGGTCTCCATCCCTGGAGGTGGACTCAACATTGAGGGTCCAGAGCACAGGAGATGAGTTGGGGGTGACGGGGACATGATGTGTCTTGAAGCAGTTTCCCCTAGTAGATTCCTTGACAGGAGGGTGGTTTTCTTTCTCTGAGAAAATGGCAATCTGTACAGGACCAAAGAGAACAGCACATTGCTTAGCTGTATTACCTGCTTTATGAAAGGTTCAAGATTTACAGTGGAAACACCCACCGGGCAAGTATTTTAATTTTATTGTTATTTTAAAAGGTTACTTTTATTTATTTATGGATACAAGAACTGGGGTGTAGACCCAAGGTGTGGGGGAGGGGGTGAGAGGTTTCATCAGAGACAGAGTGGGGAGCAGGACAGACAGATCTACTGAAATCCACTGCTGAGAGGAGCAGCGGGCAAGACAGGAGAGGTCTGCTGCGCCATGTGGGTAGCTCCCTGGCCGGGGATGGAACTCAGGCCAAACTCAGGCTGCAGTGGCTGGAGATAGTTTGACAGCACTGAGACTTTAACCCCTGCCCTACCTGGGGAGCCCCAGGACAGGTATTCTCAAAGGAAAGGGGGACAGAGTTCACAAAGAACCCAAGACATATGTGGGGAGAGGAAAAATAATCCACCATTGCTTTTGAGGAGTCTGTTTTGTGGCACAAAACTTGTCACCCCCACTAGTGCTATCAGCTGTATCTAACATGGGTCTAGACTAGCCGATGCAAGCCCCATTACCAATCATCTAGACCAGACCCCAACCTCTTAACTGCTCCTCCTGCTTCCATCCTTGCTCTCTACGGTCCACTCACCAATGATTTTCCTAAAATGCCCATCCAGTCAACAGTACCATAGTTACATTGCAACCATGAATAAAAACTAAAGACAAGGAATAGGAAGAAACAGTAGTTTGAATACAGCTGAACTTTTAAAGGAAAATGGTGGAAAACAGCAGAACATCAAGATTTAAACACATTCAGGGCCTCCCTTGGTGGCCCAGGCGGTTGAGCGCTGCACTGCGAAGCTGTCCGCAGCCTTTGCAGCGCCGGTTTGATCCTGGCCGGCTGGCGAGGGTACCCAATGGCGCAGCAGACCTCTCCTGTCTTGCCCGCTGCTCGCCTCAGCAGTGGATTTCATCAGTCTGCCTGTTGCTGCACCTCCCCCTGCAGTGACCCTCAGGGCTAATGGCTGTTGCCATGGTCCCTGAGGTCCGGCGTGGGCAAGGAACCATGCGCGCAGGGGGAGAACAGCAAACTCCCTAAGATGCAAAGAAGCCGAATGCCTGCCAAGAGATAATGACCACCAGAAGCCGCCACAAAGATGGTTAAAAGAAATGCTGACCACCTGGAACCTTATCTCGCTTTCTCAAGGCCCACAAACTTTATTCTGCTACAACCGTCTTTCTAAAATCTTTCCTTTGGGCCTCCCCGGTGGCGCAGCGGTTGAGCGCTGGGTTGCGAAGCTGCCCTCGGCCTCTGCGGCGCCGGTTGGATCCCCGGCTGCTCCCCGGCCACCGGAGGAGAGTCCCACATGGCGCGCAGACCTCTCCTGCCGCCCGCTGCTCCCCTCAGCAGTGTGCTTCGGTCCTTCTGCCTGCTCTGCTCCCCGCTCTGGCTCTGGTGAATTCTTCACCCTCCCGCGCTTCTGACTGTACCCAGTGCATGTATAAACAAAACAAACAAACAAATAAATAAATAGTGAATATTTAAAAAAAAAAAAAATAAATAAAATCTTTCCTTTTTCTGGTCATTGATTGCTAATTAAAAAACATACGTAATTTAATAATTAGGCTAATGCAAATGAAACATTACTAAACACTGTGTTATAATAGAATTGTTGGTTTAATAATCTTTCTATTATGTGCTTGACTTTAATACCTTTGATATTAACTGCATCATAATATAAATTCACCCATGACAATTAATTATGAGTAAAAATGAGTAGGTAGTAGTAGTAGTTAGTACAACAAGAATATAATTATATAGAACAAAAGAAAGAGTTAATAGCCTGTCTACTTAGGAATGCGACTAGGTCCAGATGTATTTTGGACATAGATCACTGCCCTGTCAATGATAAGCTAAACCTATGAGCAAGCTGATTGCGTTGATGTTCACTGTTTCTATGCCTTTAGAAAACATATATATACTGACCACTGCCTCAAATAAAGGGCACTCAGATTTACACTCTCCCTTGAAGTGCGTCTGTTTGTCATTTCTTTAGCCGAATCCCTGACCACCCTGCGCAGTCTCTCAACCCTGAGACGGCCTCATTGTTCACTGCTGTGCTAGTCCGCGGCAGCCTGTTATGTTCCCCGCTGTCTCTGGGGGATCTTCTCACCCTCCCGCGCATCTGGCCTGTACCCCAGTTCTTGTATAAATAAATCTTTAAAAAAAGAAAAGATTTAAACACATTCAGTCCACAAGGAGTAAGCAAGATGGGCAAAGCTTGCAGATATCTAAATGCCAAATGTCTTAGACTACAACAAGACGGTTCCCTTGGCAGAAGTGAGCAGCCAGCATGCCCTGCCCCGTTCTACAGTGTCCGGGAGATTACTCAACTAAGCAGACCAAAATGAACTCACCCGAGGGCTCCTACGCAGTGACTGGACTGGTGAGATCTGTGGAAACAGGAATGGATCACAAAGCCGGCCCCCGAAGTTGGTTCCCCGCCCACCAGCCCTCCCGCAGCCATCACCTTTAAATCACTGGCCAAGATCTTCTTCAAGAGGATGGGCTTTCTCGCTGGAGTAGCGTGGGGGGCCTGGAGAAGAGGGGTGAACATGAGCGCTACCTCAGCGTAATGGCCTCCGGGCCAGGCCTGAGGAATCCGGGGCTTACCTTCGGGCAGATACCAGGGAGGATGCCCTCGACACCAGAGTCTGACTTGCGCTGGGACTTCCGCAGGGGCTTAGGAGATGGGCCCCTGGGCTCTAGAAGCAGAAAAAAAGGTTAGGAGCGGAGTTTTAGACCTTACGAGTCTAGCGGTTAAATTTCTGGAGGGCGGAAGGTTCCCAAAGAGGCCGTCTGGGGCGCCCTCCCAGGGCAGCCGCGTCTCCCCGGGCCGTGGGGGGAGGGCCTTCCTCACGGGACCGTGTCCTGCAAACGGCTCGGCCCGGCGTCTCCCGCGCGCCCTCGACTCACCGGAGCGCCGGCCGGCCCCTCCGGACCGCGTTCGCCTCCGCGACATCGCCAGCCTGGGTCTCGGCCTCCGCCGCCGCCGCCGCCGCCCGGGCTCGCGCCTCCTAGGGCACCGCAGAAACGTTCGAATTACCCGCCCTGCGAGGGCGGAAGCGGAAGTGACGTAGGGGAGGGCCGCCGGGCTCGGTCACCTCGGCTTCGCCCGTCTCCACGTCTAGCGTCAGCCGGGGCGGGGGCCAGAGGCGCTTGCGTCATCAGCACGCGCCGCACCCGGAAGAGACGTGGCAGCGGAGGGATAATCGGAGCGGCTGGAGCTGGAGAGCAGAGCGGAGCTCGGCTGAGCGCGGCGTCTGCCCTTCCGCTCTTTGGGTCAGAGCTCGTGCCCGTCGGGACCGGGGCCGCACCCGATCAGTAACCTGCAGAGGGGTGGGTGAAGAAAGTGGGGCGGGGCTTGGAGGGGGTGGGACGCAGGAGGTGCCCCCCGGGGGGCGGGGCCGGTGGTTTGGGAGATCCGCTGCTGGTGGGACCTGGCGGGGGACAGGAGAAATGGAGGGTCGCCAGAGGTGGTATTTATGCAGGGGGCGTGGCTCGAAGTGGAGACTGGCAGTGGGGAGGAATTTGGGTTTGGGGCGAATGTGAAGGCTGTCTCTGGGAGTTACGAGTGAACATGAACTGGGTTGGTGGCCAGTTCTGGCGCCACCTGAACCCGGCACCCTATCAACACTGGCCCCTTCCCTAGGGTCGACCATGGGGCTTTGCAAGTGCCCCAAGAGGAAGGTGACCAACCTGTTCTGCTTTGAGCACCGGGTCAACGTCTGTGAGCACTGCCTGGTGGCCAATCACGCCAAGGTGGGGCCCGCAGGGGAACATGGTACTGGTGGGGGAGGTGGGAGTGGGGGGGGGTAGTCCGGGCAGTATTGGCTTTCCCCAAATCCATAAAGGGCTCCCGGCTAGAATGGAAGCTCCATGAGAGTAAGGACTTAATATATTTCGTTTACTGCTATATCTGCACCCCTTAAGGCAGAGTCTGGCACACAGTATGTGCTTAATAAATATATTTATTGGTTGCACTAACGAAAGGATGAGTCTTCTCTGTGATGAGAAGCAATTGGGCCTTCAGGAGATGGGCTGTGGAACCCCTACTCCAGCTGTGCCCTCTCTCCCACTCCAGTGTATCGTCCAGTCCTACCTGCAGTGGCTCCAAGACAGTGATTACGACCCCAATTGTCGACTGTGCAACATACCCCTGGCCAACAGGGAGACTACTCGCCTCGTCTGTTATGGTGAGGCCTAGGCACGTGGGGGGATATCAGGACAGGCCCAACCTGATGATCAATTTCCAGGCCCTCCCTAGGCAGTAGGACAATGAAAAAACCAGGTATGGTAAGCTGAAGCCCCAGAATGTAGTCCCACTAGGTTACTTACCTGCTGTGTGAGCTCCAGCAAATCATTTTCCCTTTCTAGGCTTCAGTTGATTTCTCTGAAAGTTAAAGTTCCTAGTTTTTTTGGCCAATCTTGAGGGTTTAGCAAGAGCCAGTCAGGCTGTGGGTATGGTTGTGGCTGGCTGCAGTAGCTGGCCAGAACAGCAGTGAGCTGAAATCATGGGCCTTCCAACACTCAGGGTCCACTTCTGATTCCCAGGTAGCACAGGAAAGTGTGTTTCCCACAGTAAGTCAGCTAAAAGATGTCAGCATACATGCGCCACAACCTTGAGCTGACTAAAGTAAGAGCCTAAGTGCCACCTTTTGAGGGAGCTGGTGCAAGAGTCAGCTTGATGTGTGTTTCTGTGTGAGAGTATGTGTATACGCATGTGGACTTAATGTGCATTGTGTCTTTATGTATGCTTGTGTGTTCCTTAGTACTTATGGTGAGTGAGTGTGTGAACATGGAAACGCAGGTGTGTTGTGAAGGTGCAGAAGAGTGCGTGGGTACGGGTGCTTCAGCCTTAGCAGACATGGGAGTGGTGTAGATGTGTGTGTGAGTTCCCGTGCCTGTAGGTGTAGATATGGCCAGAGGCACTGGTGTTTGATTCTGTTTCTATAAGCACATGTACATTCGTGCCTGTAAGTACACACATGCTTATGTGTGCCTGTGTGTACTTCTAGGAATCTCTCCAGAAGTTGTTCTTAATTAACCATCAGCACAGGGAGCTTGTGATGAGGGCAGGTCTAGAGCGGCCTCACTGAAAATTTGGGTAGCATCTTCTTACCTACCCCCACCCTGTAGTGGACTGGGGAATGCGGTAGCATCTTCCTTGACTTAATGAGATAATGCTGGCCAAGAAGACTGATGTCTTAAGGAACACTGAGGGATGAGCCTGGGTGAGGGTGGGAAGGAGAAGGTGCTGGGCTTGCACATGTGTGTGCATGCATCCCTGCAGCGGGCTAGGGGCCCTAAGTACCCTCTTGCCAATCCTCCCTTATTTCCTGGCCCCTAAGATCTCTTCCACTGGGCCTGCCTCAATGACCGTGCTGCCCAGCTACCCCGAAACACAGCACCCGCTGGCTACCAGTGCCCCAGCTGCAATGGCCCCATCTTCCCCCCTAACAACCTGGCTGGTCCTGTGGCTTCTGCGCTAAGAGAAAAGCTAGCGACAGTCAACTGGGCTCGGGCAGGACTGGGCCTTCCTCTGGTGAGAGTTTCTCTAACTGTCCACCTGCCCTGGGTCCCACCTGGGCCAGATGGGTGGGTGGGGACAGCACTGGGCAGGCTGGTGACACAGGTTCCTTCCTCTAGATCGATGAGGCAGTGAGCCCAGAGCCCGAGCTCCTCAACACCTCGGACTTCTCTGACTGGTCCAGCTTTACTGGTGAGTGGCCACCTCCACCTACAAGGTACTGGGCTGTGTCCTCACTGCGCTGCTGACAGCTCTTTCCCGCCCACAGCCAACAGCAACCCCGAACAAGAGGAGGTGGCCAGCGCCTCTGCTGCCCCCGCCTTCTACAACCAAGTCCCTCAGCCCCCGCCCTCCCCGAGCCGGCCTGAGCAGCACATGGTGATCCACATGGGCAACGCTGAGCCCTTGACTCACGGTGAGCAGGGAGTTGTCCGGGCCAGAGGAGGATAGGAAAGGAGTAAGGAAGTAGGGGGTGCTCAGGGATCCAGATACGCACCCGGAGAGCCCCTTCCTCACTCCAAGCGCAGATGCAACCCCCCCTCAATTCTGAGTTGCTCTGCCAGGCTGAGAAGGGCAAGGATCCCCGGTCCTCCCCACCCCGCCCCCCACTGCGGGCCAGTTTCCCTGAGCCCAGATGCTGGTGGCTCTGCCTCTGCAGCCTCGGCCCCGAGGAAGGTGTACGACACGCGGGATGATGACCGGGCGACGGGCCTCCACGGGGATTGCGATGATGACAAGTACCGTCGCCGGCCGGCCCTTGGCTGGCTGGCCCAGCTGCTCAGGTACACAGTGGCAGAGAGGGCCGGATGCCAGGAGGGGGGAGAAGAGGAAGTGAGAGCCAGAGGCCTGGGCGGTGTGACTTTGTGACTGGGGAGCTTGAGCTGGACGATAACAGTGGTCCTGGCATGGGTGCTGCTGGACTGCCTGGGTTTGGTCACAGAAGCTGGATCTGACCCTTTCTGGAGCTGTTTCCGCTTGCTGCCTGTGAGGCCTGGACTCCAGCTCTTCTAGGCCTCTTCCTGCTCTGACCCTGCCTGATCTCTGTGACGTTCCCATGGGTGAGACACTCCAGTGTCCAGAACAGAGTTGGGGACCACAGTCACCCTGCGTAATGGGCCAGTGCAGGGGTGCCCTCCGGGTGCACACTGAGGCAAGCAGGCTCTGGGAGGGTGCCCCGGGGCCAGAAGATGAGTAAGTCACGTGACCAGGATTCCTCGCCAGCCACGGGAGCCACCCGGGGCTGGAGCCTGACCTGACTTTTCCCTCCTCCCGCCAGGAGCCGGGCTGGGGCTCGTAAGCGTCCGCTGACTCTGCTTCAGCGGGCGGGGCTGCTGCTGCTGCTGGGGCTGCTGGGCTTCTTGGCCCTCCTTGCCCTCATGTCTCGTCTGGGCCGGGCTGCGGCTGACAGCGATCCCAATCTGGACCCGCTCATGAACCCTCACATCCGCGTGGGCCCCTCCTGAGGCCCTGCTTTTGGCTGGACAGCCAAGGACCTAGGGGCCTGAGGAGGGGAGGTGGGGAAACTGGGGGCCCTGCTTCGCTGATCTTTCTCCTCCCAACCTGAGACACTAAGATCCCAGACCTAAAGCCGAGTCCCCCAGAGTGGATGCAGGCTGGGCCCGGGGTCCCTGCGGATCAAGCGTCTGTCTTGACTGGCATTCCCCGAGTCTCCAGCCTCCCATCTCCCCACCCCACGAGGGAGCTGACAGGTGGAAATAAACAACAGACTTTATTAAAACCCCAAAGCAGCCTTTTCCTTCCCCCTTCTCAGTCCAGTCTCCAGGCCTCAGTGCCTCTCCTCCCGGTACTGGATGGACAGAAAGTCCAGGGCCAGGCGCTTGAAGAACATGGTTCCGTTGAGCACTGGGCAGAAGAGAGAGCCCCCATCAGCCTTCTCTGTGCCCCTCCCTACTCCTGGGCCCAAGCTCTCCCTACCCCTGGGCACACCTCCGCTCCCTCACTTACTCAAAATGATTAGGGCAAAGCAGCGCATAAACTTGTTTTCTCTCATCTCAGCATAGAGTGACCCCATGGCGGCCCAGCAGATGCTCATCACCTGGGAGAACTGTAGGCCCCATCTGGTGGGAGAGTGGCCCCCTGGCACAACAGTGGGGTTTCCATCAGCCCCTGGGTACCCCCCGCGCAGCCCTTGAGCCCCTGGCTGGGCCTACCATCAGAACAGTGGTGTAGCGGAAGCTCATGCGGTCATAGTGGTAGGTGATGCAGAAGTTGTGCACGTCGCTGGCAAAGACGGCCAGGTGTATAAGGAAGAGCATCATCGAGGCCAAGGTGAGCATCATGCCATGTGGCAAGAAGAGCACGGCCACACGGTCCCGCCACCGCATCCTGGCGGCCACACAGCCTTAGTCCAGCCTGCGGAGCTACCCAGGAAGCGCTGCTAACCCCACCAGCTCTAGAGTCAGTCTGGAAGAGCAGTGGGGTTCTAGCGGCAGGGGGACATTGAAAGGGACAGATTCTAGAACACAGGCTGGTTCCAGCCAGGACAGGAGTGTTTCATGGGGGGGCGGGGGGCTCAGAGTTGTGGAGGGCTGGGAGGCTAAAGGCACAGAACAGCGAGGGCCTATCATGTTCGAAGAGACAGCATCCCTCATCACCCCATCCCCATGCTTACTCTTTCTGTGGCTCCTCACTGCGTCCTCAGTGGCTCCACAGAGGAGGTGGTGTGAGCACATCGTACAGATGAACTGGGGCTCAGGAAAGTTGGGGGCATGTTCTAGGTCCACAGCAAGCCTTAGGCACATGGATGATTAGGACCCAGGTGTGTCGCTGGAGGGTGGCCTTGGCGGCAAGATCCCAGTTCCAAATAACTGCTCCCCCGCAAGATGGGGGGAGCCAGGGGAAGAGAAGGGACCACTGATTCCCAGAAGCTCTCCGGGTCAGCTTGGAGACTGGCTTCCTATCCTCTCCCTAGATGGCCCAGAACCTGATGCCAAAGGCTTTTTCCCTCTCTGCCACCTGCTGGCACTGAGAGTTTTCACACTCATCACCTCAGTCACTTTGAATCCCATGAGGAAGCTGGGGCCGGTAGCATAAATCCCATTTTACACCTGCGTCTGAGCATGGAGAGAGGCTGTCATCAGCTTGGGCTTTCACAGCCCTGAGTGAGTACTGTGGAGAGCTGATTCTACCTGAGGCTGTGGGGTGGGCAGGGACAGATGCAGCCAAGAAAAAACACTTTCTCCATACATGGAAGAGGTGAAAAGTGCAGGGCTGTGACAAGATAAGCCAGGAGAATGGCTAGAAATGATGGGGAGGGACATGCAAACTTCTAGGAACTAAAGTGGAAGAGGAAGTGGGACTTGACATTGAACTTGGACACCTCCATTGCTTCCCTCCCCATGGTCCATCCTGGAAGTTAAGTCCAGGTTAGGTCAAGACCTAAGTCGCCCACCTCAAAAAACAGTATCTCCCAGTGTCACAGATCCCAGCAGCCCCTGTGAATCCCAGGGCAAGTGAGGGTTCGTTAGGCAGGTTCAGGAACAGCACAGGCAGGGACTTCGGGAGAGTTAAAAGTGGCTTCTGAGATAACGGCAGAGAAATTAAGGAGGGCTAATGAGGGCAGTCAATTTTAAGGCTAAAATTTGATGCTAATCGGGACTAAATTTTAGGAGACCTTGGACAGGGGAGGTAAAAAGAGAAACTCTAAGATAAGAGCTGGGAAAATGGGCACATCTGTCCAGAGGAGTATAGCCACTAGGAGGAAGAGCCAATCACAAAATAGGGTGATGAGATTTTAGAATAGAGAAAAAAAGGTTTAAATGTCCCCTAGACATGGGCCCATGATGGCATCTTTTGCCCCACCTTGGCAATGCTGCCTTGAAGTCTTTGCTTTTGTTCTTTTTCCTCTAAATAAACTTTCTTTCTTGAATAAAGTTTGCTTATCTCTGCTTACTTATCTAAAAAGTCTATGAATTCATTTTTATGGCTTTGTGGGACAAGAACCTGTGGTGGTTCAAGAGCTAAATTAACAGCGCACACTAGCTGTTAATATTGTCAGTATAATTTTAAAAAAGTTAAAAACATGACATCTAAATAGAGAACTTGTAACTAAGATGTGAGTTACATGATGAGTTCCCCCTCAGGAATCAGGAAGATGGAGGTACATCTTGAGGAACTGGATATTTACAGGCATTTAAGAAGGAATGTGTGATTATGAGCTTAGAAGTGAAACTGGTTGATGTCCTCCATGGCAATAAAAATAATTTTTGAGATATTTTTTCTATGCAATATAAATGTTTTACATCTCTCTTGGACAACAACTGCTTGTAATTTCATAGTCTGAACCCTTAGTAATACATAGTAAAGTCCAACTGTCTATTCCTGTGGGTAATTAAATAGTCAGATAATCCCTGGATGGGCTTCTGAACTGCCCGGATGACATGCTACACTCTTGGTCTTACTTCTGAATTTTGGATAATTTTTCTTTTTTTTTTTTTAACATTTATTTATGTATAGGCCTCCCTGGTGGCACAAAGGGTTAAGCACTGCACTATGAAGCAATCCGCAGCCTCTGCAGCACAAGTTTGATCCCTGGCCGGCCAGAGAGAAACCCACATGGTGCAGCAGACCTCTCCTGCCTCACCTGCTGCTCCCCTCAGCAGTGTATTTCAGTCAATTCACCTGTTCTGTTCCCCACTCCATCTCTGGTGAATCCTCTCACTCCCCGCATCTCTGACCTGTACCCCAGTTCTTGTATGCATATAAATCTTTATGCATACAAGAACTGGGGCACAGGCGAGAGGTGTGGTGGGTGAGAGGATTCACCAGAGATGGTAGGAAATAGAACAGGCGAATTGACTGAAATACACTGCTGAGGGGAGCAGCAAGTGAGGCAGGAGAGGTCTGCTATACCATGTGGGTCACCTCTCTGGCCAGGGATCGAACTCATGCTGCAGTGGCTGTGGACAGCTTCATTGTGCTATGACTTGGCCCCTTGTGCCACCAGGGAGGCCCCGGATAATTTTTTTTTAAGATTTATTTATGCATATAAGAACTGGGGTACAGGCCAGAGGTGTAGGGGGTGAGAGGATTCACCAGAGACAGAGTGGGGAACAGAACAAGCAGACTAACTGAAACACACTGCTGAGGGGTGCAGCAGGTGACTCAGGAGAGGTCCACTGTGCCATGTGGTCTGCTCCCTGGCCAGCTTCATAGGTTGCGTCTCAACCCCTGGATAATTTTTCTTTTTTTTTTTTTTTTTTAAAGATTTATTTATTTATTTACACAAGCACTGGGTACAGACAGAAGCACGGGAGGGTGAGAGAATTCACCAGAGCCAGAGCGGGAAGCAGAGCAGGCAGAAGGACCGAAGTACACTGCTGAGGGGAGCAGTGGGCGGCAGGAGAGGTCTGCGCGCCATGCGGGACCCTCGCGGGTGGACGGGGATCAAACCCGTGTTACAGAGGCTGCAGGCAGCCTCGCAACCCAGCGCTCAACCGCTGTGCCACCGGGGAGGCCCTAATTTTTTTTTTTTTTTTTTGGCGGCACCCTCGCCGATGGCGATCGAACTGGCGCTCCCGAGGCTGCGCTTGTGTGATGCAATGTCATTCTTATTCAACCACTTAATATTAAATACACACATTCTTATTAATTGATAGGCCTCATGAAAACAGGTGATGGGCTGTGTTTGGCCTGCAGGATGCCTGCCAAAGAAAAATTAAACAAGGTTCTTTCCACCCCCAGCCCATCATAAGAATTGTCTTAAGGGCCACGGTGATACCCTCTTTCCATCCATTCAAACTCTTTGTGCCTCAGTTTGCATTCCAGTTCATTCACTGTCCTCTAGAGCACATCACGCAGGCGAACTGCTGCATCTCATCCAAACCAGAATCCTGAGAATTATCCTCCAAGTCTCCACCCGGCTCCTTGCTCAGCACATCCCATCAGTCTGAGACCTGCAGAGCCTGTCTTCTAAGCACGGCCTATTTAAGTGCACCAGAACTACTCGGGGACTTTTTCAACAGAAAGCTGGGTGCGGGGGTGGGGGGTGGGGGGGGAACACGTCACAGGCAACTGTGATAGCAACTCCGACTGATGCACGTGAGAAGTCCAGGCCTTGAGAAGCGCTGTGCCAGAGGCAAACTGTATATGCATTAATTAGTCCTCACAGTGCCCCAGTGAAACAGGTACCCCAGTTTAGTTACAGGGCAAAGTTACCAGGTACCAGGTACAGGTAACGCGCAGTGGCCTATGCCAGGCCCACGTTCTCAGGTCCCAAGTCATCTACGACGTCTCTGGCTGCGTCTAGCGCCTCTGGGGGCACATTCCGTGGGCTCCGGCCTGCTGGGGTGCCGGCTGGGCGGCCGGGACACGCCCTTCCTCCCGAGAGCAGCAGCCCGACCAGTTCCACAAATGCTCCCGGAACCTCTTCGCTCGAAGAGGAAAGGTGCGGGGGGACGCTAGACTCGAAGGACCCAGGGCGGCAGGGGGACGTTTCACCTGCAGGACTGCCTGAGTTCAGCTGCAGCTTTATGGCTCCCGGAAGTGCCGCCTCCCAGTGCTCCTGTCAGCCTCACGCCCTGGGCTGCGGTTGAAGCCATGGCGGCGGCAGCCGCTGCGCCTGGCCCGGGGTCTGGACCCGGGGACTCGCCGGAGGGGCCCGAGGCGGAGGCTCCGGAGCGTCGGCGGAAAGCGCACGGGATGCTGAAGCTTTACTATGGCCTCTCAGAGGGGGAGGCAGCCGGGCGCCCCGCAGGGCCGGGCCCCCTGGATCCGACTGATCTCAACGGGGCACACTTCGACCCGGAAGTGTATCTGGACAAGGTGTGTGATGGGGGGGCGTCAGGCACCCAATATATTGCACCCCTAAGTCATGCCTCTGATTTTATTGCGTGCGGGGGGACGGGAAACATGGATTCATCCGAGGCGGAACAGCCCTCGGCCAGGACCGCCCTCCGCCAGTTTGGGGGCAGAGCTGGAGTCTGTGGGGGCGCGGGCAGACTCGGAGCCGCCTGAGGTGGCCTGGAGCTGAGGTCTCCTGGGCAGATGGTCTGATAGGCCCGTGCTAGGGGGCGTGTCTCTGGCGCTGACGGGCGCGGCACGGGCGCGGTGGCTGAGAGTTTCAAATACTGACAAAATTCCACACAGGGTCGATCTAAAATCCGCTTAATTAAGCCACTTAGAGACCCCAAGTCTGGGATTCCTGACAGGGGTGGGATTAGGGCTTTCTTGCACCAAAAGTCTGCCGCTAGGGGCAAAGCTAGAGGACTTGACCTGAACACTAACTACCCAATTTCCTCCAGCTGCGTAGAGAGTGCCCCCTGGCCCAGCTGATGGACAGTGAGACGGACATGGTGCGACAGATCCGGGCTCTAGACAGCGACATGCAGACTCTGGTCTATGAGAACTATAACAAGTTCATCTCAGCCACAGGTGACTCCCACTGGGACACACCCCTCACAACCCCAGGGCCCTCTGTTCCTTCCCCTGTTTGGGGGAAACCAGTAGGGAACTTAGAGGGAGGAGACCCAGAATCCATTAAAGCATAAAACAAGCTCAGAGAATTTAAAACGATTGAAATCATATGAAGTATGTTCTGTGACCATAATGGAATTAAATTAGAAATCATTAACAGAAATTTGAAAAATTCAGATGTATGTGAAAACGAAACAGCATGCTCCTAAATAGTCAGTGGATGAAAGAAATCGCAGAGAAACTCAGAAATGCTTTGATATTAATAACTTGAAAATACAGCATTCCAGCCCTTATGAGATGTCCACAAATGTTATAACAGCATTAATCAGAGTAGCTAAAGAGCAGAGGCAACCCAGTGGCCATTAACTGGTGAGTGGACAAGCGTTATCTAGTATACCCATACAATGGAGTATTATTCAGCCATAACAAGGTATGATTACTGTAACATAGATGAACCTTGAAAATATGCTAAGTTAAAGAAGGCAAACACAAAAGGCCACATGTTGTATAAGTCCATTTGTGTTAAATGTACAAAGTAGATAAATTCAGAGCCAGGGGAAATATAGTAATAGTTGCCAGGGATGAAGACATGGGAGAGAGAGATTGCTAAAAGATACAGGGTTTCTTCACCTACAGTTGAGGTGATGAAATGTTGTGGCATTAGATGCTAGCTACACAATTTTGTGAAGACACTCAGTAAATTAAGAACCACCACATTGTATAGTGTGGCACTTCTGCTCCAATTAAAACTAAATGGGCAAATATGATCAAGCCAGATTTGGCCTGCCGCCTCTAGTTTGCCAACCTTTGCCTCAGACATTTTAACTTTGTAATAATGCATTTATCTGCATCAAAGTTGGAAAGAGGGTACAGTGAAAAGCCTCATTCCTTCTCCCCTCAGGCAAAGACAAAGCAATCTTTCACAGCAGATGTTGGAGATAACCAGACACACAGAGTAGTGTGTGGGTCGTGAGGCGATAGGCGCCATGGATTACACAAAATGCATTCTCAGCCAGCCCCCAGTCAATAACCAGCATGACCAGCAAGGCCCCTCCAGCCTCCTACCAGTTACCACCCACTCCCTACCTAGCCAACATCCTGGCATCCAGATGGTTATCATTCACCCTAGTCGAAACTGCTTTTCCTAACCAGCCTGAGAAAGTCCAGGGATATGCAGAGTAATCTTTATTACTCAATATGCAGATGGCTTTGTTATTTTTTAGCATGGGACAACTTTTTTTTTTTTATATTTAAAGAGCAGGTTTATTAGAAAAGGGATAGGACAGTAAAAGAAACTTGCATAGACATAAGCGGACAGAAAGAGCTGCTAAGAGGCCTGCAGGGTTGTGGGTGGGCGGCCTTGAGGAGAGCTGCCTCCGCTGAGGGAGGTCAGTAAAGAAAAGTCCCAGGCAGGCAGGAAGGCTGCTGCCCTGCAGAGGGAGAGAGTTGGTGAAAAGAAGCAACTGCATAGTCACAGGTGGGCAGAAAGACTGTTGCAACATGGGGCAACTTTTATTTCCATTTTAATGACTCTGTGGCTGTGCCATCAGCAACAGCAACACCCATAAGAGGTTTTCTTTTACTCTTAGTGACAATTAAGTTCTTGGATTTTATTCTTTGGAATAAAATCCAGATGGTTATCATCTGGGTTAGGGTTTTATTTTATTCTTTGGAAGTGAGATTCAAGTTTCCTTCTTCTGTGCATCATGGGCCCAAACACCCACTCTTGCAAGAATCTGCTCCTCTAATGATAGCATTTGACGGACCTAGGTGGAGGTCCTGTCACAGTGTACATGGTTTGTAAGTGAAAGTAAAGATTCACTGGGAGAAGATGAAATAAATGCCTGGTTAACTTCCAAGCTGCCACGTGATTGTTAGCCCACGCGTCTAGGCCCCTCGCTTCTGTCTCTTTTGCCCTTTTATTCAGTTTTAACACTGCACAGCACTGTCCAGACGATGTCTATTCATATGTCCATGATTTGGCATTACAGCCATCATTCTCCCTCCCCCACAGACAAAAACAACTCTCACCCCTGACCCCAAAGATCAGAAGTTTCCTATTTTATGACTGTTTTTTAGTAATTTCCTTTCTATGGAATCATCTCTAAGAAGAAGGGTGGTTTTATTAGACTGTTTTACTAACACGAAACATCTGCTGATGTATGGCCTCGCTCTTCATATAATCAGCTCTTCATGTGAAAAACCCTAATTGCTCTACAGGTGTTAGCACTGTGGGTTCTTCCGTTCTTTGTTGAAATTTGTGTGTGTGTGTTCTTTTTATTTTCATGATTTTATTAATGCTTCTCTCCTCACTTTACCCTTCCTGTCTCTCCCCAAGTTGGCCCGCTGCCCTGATCCTGCTCAGAGAACACTCCCAGGTCCAGGAGCCATACACAGAACAGGTGTGAATGTGTGAAGGCTCACAGGTGGCTGCAGTTAGATATTACCAGAGCCCTTTCCAAAAGGATCGATCAGTTTGCATAACCATCAGCAAATAAGCCAATACCTTTCTCCACATGCCCGGTCCAGCACTCCGTCACGTTGCTGACCTTTGATGACCTGGGAAGTGAAAAGTGTCATTGTGTAGTTTCATTTACTCTGTGGAGTGAGCTTGAGCATATTTTTGTTAAGATTTAAGTTTTAAGATTTGTAAGAGGTGAGACTGGATGGATTTGAGGAGGTGAGTGGATGTTCACAAGTTGGTGACAGTAGTCATGACCTGAGAGGTGAGGCAGAGGCCAGTAGGAACTGCAACAGGAGGGCTGTAGTTTGAGGCATGATCCTCAAAGAAGCTGGGGTTTGAAGGGAAGAAGAGTAGAAACTATCTAGGGGCTAAGGTTAGGTGGCTAGGCCCTGCAGTCTCCCCAGGTTGGGCTCCTGCCCTTTAGGTATGGAAGGACAGCCTCCTCAGGCAGGTTTCTGTGAGGCCAGAAGGCAAGGACTTCTCCTAGGCCACCCACCATATTCTAGAAGGCGGAGTGAAAGGGCTTGCGAGGTCTGGGATGGAGACAAGGATCAACAAGTATTTATTGCCCAGGCTGTGCACTGGGCTGGGAGGATGCCCCTGGGAACCAGGACAGGTCCCTGCTCAGTGCCCCATGCTCTCCTCTGGATCTAGGCTTCAGGGCATAGAGGCTGGGCCCCACAGCCTGTTTCCTCTCAGCACCAGGGCTGAGGACACACTGGGGTGCTCAGAAACCCCTGCTGCACTAACACCATGAGCCAGGAGCCTCCTTACTGTGACCAAGTGCCACTGCAGCCCTTGGGCTGGGATCATCAGTATGACCTTCTGCTCTTAGGGGAAGGCACGAGGGTGCTTGTGAGACCCTTTGGACCATCCTAAGCCATCCAGTCAACTTCTTTTCCCTTTCCCGCGCGCTTGCCCTCCTAGACACCATCCGGAAGATGAAGAACGATTTCCGGAAGATGGAGGACGAGATGGACCGGCTGGCCACCAACATGGCGGTGATCACTGACTTCAGTGCGCGCATCAGCGCCACGCTGCAGGACCGCCACGAGCGCATCACCAAGCTGGCAGGTGGGCCCACCCGCAGCCGGTGCTAAGGCCCGCCCTCGGGGCTCTCTGGGGCTAACAGGGCCTCTCCCTGCCCCCCAGGAGTTCACGCGCTGCTGCGGAAGCTGCAGTTCCTCTTCGAGCTACCTTCGCGCCTCACCAAGTGCGTGGAGCTGGGCGCCTACGGGCAGGCGGTGCGCTACCAGGGGCGCGCCCGGGCGGTCCTGCAGCAGTACCAGCACCTGCCCTCATTCCGCGCCATCCAGGACGACTGCCAGGTCATCACGGCCCGCCTGGCCCAGCAGCTCCGGCAGCGCTTCAGGTGTGGCCGGGGCCCTCACCCCACCTGGCCGGGCACCTGGGTCGACCCATCGCCTTCCAGTTGATGCCCCTTCCCCAGGATTTCTGCCTGCCTTCCGGCCGGCTCTCACCGCATCTCCCTCCCGCAGGGAGGGCGGTTCGGGCGCCCCGGAGCAGGCCGAGTGCGTGGAGCTGCTGCTAGCCCTGGGCGAGCCTGCCGAGGAGCTGTGCGAGGAGTTCCTGGCGCACGCCCGCGGGCGCTTGGAGGAGGAGCTGGGCAGCCTGGAGGCGGAGCTGGGGCCCTCCCCTCCGGCCCCCGACGTGTTGGAGTTCACCGACCGGGGCGGCAGCGGCTTCGTGGGCGGGCTCTGCCAGGTGGCAGCGTCCTATCAGGAGCTGTTTGCGGCCCAGGGTCCGGCGGGTGCCGAAAAGCTGGCGGCCTTCGCCCGGGAGCTGGGCGGCCGCTACTTTGCGCTGGTGGAGCGGCGCCTGGCCCAGGAGCAGGGTGGTGGTGACAATTCGCTGCTGGTGCGGGCCTTGGACCGCTTCCACCGCCGCCTGCGGGCACCCGGGCCCCTGCTGGCCGCTGCCGGGCTCGCGGAGGCTGCCACGGAGATAGTGGAGCGAGTGGCCCGCGAGCGCCTGGGCCACCACCTGCAGGGCCTGCGGGCCGCCTTCCTGAGCTGCCTGACCGACGTGCGCCAGGCACTGGCCGCTCCTCGCCTGGCTGGGAAGGAAGGCCCCGGTCTGGCCGAGTTGCTGGCCAACGTGGCGAGCTCCATCCTGAGCCACATCAAGGCCTCGCTGGCCGCTGTGCACCTCTTCACCGCCAAGGAGGTTTCTTTCTCCAACAAGCCCTACTTTCGGGTATGGCCGCCCCCCGGGGCTGGTTTTTTACTGTTTCTGGGCCTGTTATTCTTCCTGGGGCTGGCACGCAGTCCTTGCCCTGGGAGCCCAGGATGTTGTTTCAGGCGGTCTTGAGGAAGGCTGGGGGCAGCAGGACAGGTCAGGGGAGGGTTCTGAGAGCATCTGTAAACAGGGCCCCTAGTGCTGACACTATCTTGGCTCTACCCCTCCCCTCCCCCCAAGCAGGGGAGCTGCTGGGGGACTGGCACGCAGGGTGAAGCTGTCCCTCAGAGAGGGCCCCAGCAAAGGGTCCCTGCGGTGAACCTGGGCTCCTCCTCCTCACAGGGCGAGTTCTGCAGCCAGGGTGTCCGTGAGGGCCTCATTGTGGGCTTCATCCGCTCCATGTGCCAGACGGCTCAGAGCTTCTGTGACAGCCCAGGGGAGAAGGGAGGTGCCACTCCACCCGCCCTGCTCCTGCTGCTCTCCCGCCTCTGCCTGGACTATGAGACGGCCACCATTTCCTACATCCTCACCCTCACTGATGAGCAGTTTCTGGTGCAGGTGAACTGCCAGCTCAGAGCAGGGCTGGGGACACGGGAGGCTGGGTGGTGCCAGCTGCCTCTGCCCAACCCAACCTCCCAGCCTCTATCCGCTCCTGCTGTAGAGGCCCCTGAGCTGCCCCACTACCCTCTGCTTCTCTGTCCTCTGTCCCTGGCTCAGGACCAGTCTCCAGTGACGCCCGTGAGCACACTGTGTGCGGAGGCCAGGGAGACAGCACGGCGACTGCTGACCCACTATGTGAAGGTGCAGGGCCTGGTCATATCACAGATGCTGCGCAAGAGTGTGGAGACGCGGGACTGGCTCAGCACCCTGGAGCCCCGGAATGTGCGCGCTGTCATGAAGCGGGTGGTGGAGGACACTACGGCCATTGATGTGCAGGTGCTGCCCCTGGCTGGCGGATGGGGCCCTGATGTGGGCTGGGCATGCTGGGGGATAACCCTCTGAGGATCCAGACAGCTGGGGCTGGCCAAGGCCTGCATCCATGTCTTCCTCAGACCTGGGTTGTGGCCTCGTTGCTCCATTTCACCTCAGAGGAAGCTGTTTCCCAGGAAGTCCAGGGCTGAGATTGGGCCTGGGCACCAATTATTAGGTCCCACCTTTGCCCCACACCATTGGTTTTGTGAGTAGTGACTGGGCTCTAAGCAGATTCTGGGAATTATATACCCTGTGGTTTTCCTAACAGATGTGATTTTTGTGACAAATGAGGGCGTGACTTTAGTGCCTCCGTGGGCCCCGCCCAGGTTCCTGGTGGGCCAGAGGTTTCCTCCGCTCAGTACCTCCCCTCGCCACCAGGTGGGGCTCCTGTACGAAGAGGGCGTGCGCAAGGCCCAGAGCAGCGACTCCAGCAAGAGGACCTTCTCCGTGTACAGCAGCTCTCGGCAGCAGGGCCGCTATGCACCCAGCTACACACCCAGGTCTGGCTGGTAGGGTAGGGTAGCCCCCAGAGGAGTGGACAGAGGAAGACAGGCTCTGATTGCTGTCTCCTCCCATCCAGCGCCCCAATGGACACTAACCTCTTGAGCAACATCCAGAAGCTGTTCTCTGAGCGGATTGACGTGTTCAGCCCGGTGGAGTTCAACAAGGTCTGAAGTCCCTAGTGACCCCACCTTCCAGGGGCTGCTTGGCTGCAGCAACCCCAGGAGCCTTAGGCTGTCCCCCCAGTCTCTGTCTCTGAGGGTGGTTTCTAGGCATTTCCAGTGGTAGCCCAGAGACTCACCATCTCCATCCCATGGCCCTGTGCCCTCGCCTCGCGGTGCCCAGCCTGGCTCGTGCCCTTGTCCCCAGTAGTCCTGGGGTCTCCCTGGAGATTCTTAGTCCCTGCCCCAACCCAGCTCACGATCAGGTGCCGACCCCTCTGTCTGCCCCTGGTGGCTGGACCCTCTGTCCCTCCCCTCCAGCTGGTGTGCTAACATTGTGTCTCTTCTCCCCCCTTACCTGCATCCACTCCATCCAAGCTACTGGCAGCTTGTCTCCCGCCCCTGCCTAGAACGTGGGTGCCCTCCCTCAGGGATCTAGCGCCTTTCCCGCGCATCTCCCCTGACAGCAGCAGCTCCGTGTCCCCGCCCGCAGGTGTCCGTCCTCACTGGCATCATCAAGATCAGCCTGAAGACGCTGCTGGAGTGTGTGCGGCTGCGCACCTTTGGGCGCTTTGGGCTGCAGCAGGTGCAGGTGGACTGCCACTTCCTGCAGCTCTACCTGTGGCGCTTCGTGGCCGACGAGGAGCTCGTCCACTTGCTGCTGGACGAAGTGGTGGCCTCGGCTGCCCTTCGCTGCCCGGACCCAGTGCCCATGGAACCCAGTGTGGTCGAGGTCATCTGTGAGCGCGGCTAGGCCTGGCCGCAGCCTCGCGCGGGCCTTTCCCACCCGCCAGCCCGTCCCCTCCAGCCTAATAAAGAAGTGTTGCTTCCACCGCCAGGCTTGCGGGGCGTGGCTTTCCGGGGGTGGAGTTTGGGGACCCGGGCCTCAGCGGCGCGCTCTTCGGATCCGCCCCCGGAGCCGATTGGCTGGTCTGCTGGGCCCAGGATGGGCCGGGGGCGGGGCCCCGAGGACCTCTAGACAACAGAGGCCGCTGCCGGAGCTCAGTCCCGAGACAGGTGCAGGCTCCGGGGGCCGCATCCTTCGCGACGCCGCGCCCATCTGCTGGTGGATGGGGTGGACTATACCTTGACCGGCTTTTGTGGGCCCCTATCCCCGGCGGAGCGGAGACCATGGCCCCTCCTCAGGGCTCCCGAGCCCCGCTGGAATTCGGGGGACCCCTGGGTAATGGGGCAGAGGGGGGTGACCTGGGGCCAGGGGCGCAGCGAGGGAGGACTGGCAGGGTGAACTGCGAGCGGGGATGAGGGCTAGATCTAGGGTGGAAGCCTTCGGGGGGTATCAGAGAGGGATGGGGGTAGAGGGGCAGAGTGGACCAGCTGAGAAAGCACCAGCTCAGTGGTCTGCAGAGTTGGGGGCTTGTGGGGTACACAGGGAGGAGCAGGGGGAACGGGAGACGGGTCTGGGGGCGGGGGCCAAGCTGGAGGTCCAGGCAGGGGGCTGAGAACGGACTATGGGAGGGTGACGGGGATGCTGAGGGTCCCTGGAGACGACCGGGCACCTGTGGCGGGTCGGAGCGGGGGCGCGTCGGTGGGCAGACGCCCGACGCCATGGCCTCCCTTCCGCAGGCGCCGCGGCGCTGATGCTGCTGCTGCCCGCCACCATGTTCCACCTGCTCCTGGTGGCCCGCTCGGGCCCGGCGCGCCTCCTGGGCCCACCCCCCTACCTGCCGGGGCCCGAGGCGCTGTGGAGCCCGCGGGCACAGCTGCTCTGGCTCACCTGGCTCGGCCTGCAGGCGGCGCTCTACCTGCTGCCCGCGCGCAAGGTGTGGGCTGCTCTCGCGGGCGCGCGCAGGCGGGTGGAGGGAGGAGGCCGCGTAAGGAAAGAGGCTTCCCTCGACCCTCACCCGAGCCCCTTCGTGCCCGCAGGTGGCTGAGGGGCTGGAGCTGACGGACAAGAGTCATCTGCGCTACCCCATTAACGGTGCCGGGGGAACCCTCGAGCTGGCGTTGCGCGCGTGGGGGTGGAGCGCCAGGTGTCCTGGGGGCCACGGAGATTAGCTCCCTTATGTGCCCCCTTTCCACCCGGCACAGGCATGAGGGGGGCTCACCGCCCCTCGCCACAGCCCGTGTCCCCTCACCCCTGCCTCCTCCGCCCGCTGCTGCTCTGGGCAGCAGAGCCGCGGGTGGGCGACATCTGAAGGCGCAGGTGACAGCCTAATAGTTTGGGGTGAGCTCTGCGACCTCCCTGGGCTCTGGGCTGGTCTGTCTGCGCCGGGGGACGGGCGGCCCCCGGACTCATGGCGCGTTGCCGCGCAGGCTTCCAGGCGCTGGCGCTGACCGCGCTGCTCGTGGGCCTGGGGGTGTCGGCCGGGCTGCCCCTCGCTGCGCTCCCGGAAATGCTCCTGCCCTTGGCGTTCGCAGCCACCCTGGGCAGCTTCCTCTTCAGCCTCCTCCTCTATCTGAAGTCTCTGGTAGCCCCCGCCTCGGCCCTGGCACCCGGGGGCAACTCAGGTGAGAGGGGCCCAGTAGGGCGTGGGTGGAAGCAGATGAGGCGCTGGCGGCACCTTCACCCTCCCTTATTCTCCAGGAAATCCCATTTATGACTTCTTCCTGGGACGCGAGCTCAACCCGCGCATCTATTCCTTTGACTTCAAGTATTTCTGCGAACTGCGCCCTGGCCTCATCGGCTGGGTATGTGGGGCGGGGCGAGGGCGGGGAAGGTGCCCAGCGCTGGGCGGGGCAGGGCCAACAACCTCGTGCAGACGGGAATCCTGAATCCTTCTCTCAACCCACGAGTATCTGTTGAGTCTGCCCTGAGCCGAGGTGCTGGGCGACGAGAGCAAAGTTACACGAATGGGAAAAACATCTCTGTCGCCAGGGAACCTGTGTTCTAGTGGCAAAGACGAAAACTAAGTCAAATCTGTAGAGCATGTGGATGCTGAGTGCCTGGGGGAAAGGCGGGGGTGGGGGGTGTGAGCAGGTGCAGTTTTAAATAAAGCTGTCAAGTGCAGAGTCTATTTCAAGGCGCCCAGGGGCCCTCGGGAGGGCTGGCCAGTCAGTCGCAAGAGGCAGAACCTAGAACCGGTCACTGGGTTTAGCAACCCATCTGGCACTCTTGGCCTTGACGACTTTCCAACTGTGTTTTGGGTGCTGGCCTGTGGACAGGATTTCCTGAGGCCTCCTTGGGTAAGGTTTCCATCACGTCACCCTGGAAGCTACCTGGTCCAGACTGGTCTGAGCTGGATCCTAGCCTCCAGGTCTATTCCACCATGTGTTTGGAGTAAAATAAGAGCTGCCTCTGACACTGGCGTGAAGAAGAGGAGACCTTAGTGAGGGCCCTGAGCTGGGGGCATGAGATCTGGGGTGCTCGACAAGGCCAGCCTGCCCGCTCAACTTTTCTGAGCACTTGCTATGTGCCAGACGCTCTGCCGAGGCCCCACGATGGTCCCCATTTCCCACACGGTGGTGGAGACGGTCAGTGCTCAGAGAGCGAAGCTGAGATTCCAAACCAGGTGTGTTCTGATTCTGAAACCTGCCACAGCCGCTTACCCCCCTAAAGGGCACATGGCAGGACAAAGGAGCCAATCAGCTGGGAGTGCCCCCAAAGCAAGATTAAGGCACAGCCCATCTGGGGGCTGGAGTTAGTGAGGAAGCACTGAGACACAAGGGCAGAGGCTGGCCACTGTCCCGCCAGGCGCTGCCACCGCGGTGCTGATGGGCTGGGGACAGACCGCCCTGTCTCCCCCCGCCCCTCCAGGTCCTCATCAACCTGGCCCTGCTGATTCAGGAAGCAGAACTTCGGGGCAGTCCCTCCCTCGCCATGTGGCTGGTCAATGGCTTCCAGCTACTCTATGTGGGTGATGCCCTCTGGCATGAGGTGAGGCTGGCCTGGGCGGGGAAGGCAGGGAGAGTGTCTGGGGTCCTGGCAAGGACTAAGCCAGCGGGTCTGGCCCTGTCCCGACAGGAGTCTATCCTCACCACCATGGACATCACGCACGACGGGTTTGGTTTTATGCTGGCCTTTGGGAACCTAGCGTGGGTCCCCTTCACTTACAGCTTGCAGGCCCAGTTCCTGCTGCACCACCCACAGCCCCTGCACTTGCCCATGGCCGTGGTCATCTGCCTCATCAACGGTCAGTCTGAGAGGGGCCTCATGCTCTCTCCCCGCTCCTAAGCCGTTGACTTGGCACGGGCTATGTAGCTAGCCTTGGGGATATCTCGAAAGCCGGGGCCTGGGCCCTGGGTCTCCAGGCAGACTGAGCCTGCGTGGAGGATGGAGGGTCGGGGTTGGGCAGGAGGTTGAGCCTCAGCCCTTACTGCCTGTTTGTGCTCCCCCCCAGCTCTCGGTTACTACATCTTCCGTGGAGCCAATTCCCAGAAAAACACCTTCCGAAAGAATCCCGCTGACCCCAGAGTGGCTGGTGAGCCGGGCTTCTCGGGTGCACGAATGGCGGGGGTAGCTGGGCTTCCTGGGGGCCCCATCCCACTACGTCTTTCTGCAGACCTTGAGACCATCTCGACTGCCACGGGACGGCGGCTGCTGGTGTCGGGGTGGTGGGGTATGGTGCGCCACCCCAACTACCTTGGAGACCTCATCATGGCTCTGGCTTGGTCCTTGCCTTGTGGTGAGTGACGGCGGGTTGGGGGCACCATGCCAGGGGTAAGGGTTTATGGCCAATTGGTGCCCGCAAGATGCCCATTCTGGGGGTGAAATGGAGACCAGGGGTGCACACAGGGGAAGGGAGTAGTCAGGAAGCTGAGGAAGGACTCCATGTAGCTGGAGGGGGAGGGGTGGGGCCAGCACTTGCTGCAGACCCTGAACCTTTCACCACGGAGCCCCCATGAGCCATGACATGGAACAGGGGGGCAGGATGAGTGGTCACAGCGCCCCCTCCCCACAGGCGTGTCCCACCTGCTGCCCTACTTCTACCTCCTCTACTTCACCACGCTGCTGGTGCACCGGGAGGCCCGGGACGAGGGGCAGTGCCTGCGCAAGTACGGCCTGGCCTGGCAAGAATACTGCCGGCGGGTGCCTTACCGGATTCTGCCCTACGTCTACTAAGGCAGCAGCAGGGGCACGGGCTGCCCATCTGCCAGCACCAGAAGCCTGGCCACACCTGGGACTCAAGGGCACCTACCCTGCCCTATGCGCCTACAGGCAGGAACCAACCGCCTCAGAGAGGTTTGGAGTCGGGAAAAAACGAAGCCAGTGCTCAAAAATGGGGTGGAGGGGTTGCCCACCCTCCTTGGATAAACCTCTGGAATGCTCGCTGTGGCTTCTGTCCCTTCCTGGGGGCCAGTGTTTAAAGCTGGCTGGGCCAGCCCTGACTAGGGGGAAGCTGGGAGATGGTTTGTGGGCCCCACAGTATAGGGCTGGGTGGGACAACAGCTGTCACTCAGAAACGGGGGATACCAACAGAGGACACCAGTCTGCTTTATTAATGACCAGGGGCCGGCTCAGCCCGGGAGTTCCTCAATGAGAGTCCTTGGGGCAGGTGGCACAGGGCCTCCCCAAAGCCGCTCCAGCTCCCCCGTGAGGGCTGCCACCTCCTCGGCTGCCGCAGCATGGGCTCGGTGGGCCCCCGCGCAGGCAAGGGCCAGTGGGGTGAGGGCCCCCTCATTTTCGTTGGTCCAAGCCAGCAGGAACTGGCACTTCTTCCGGGCCCGGTAGAGGCGTCCTCGCTCCTCCGTTGACGCGGCCTGTTTCCGGGCCCGGCCCAGCGTCTGCGCCAGGTGCCCCAGGGCTGCGAGCGTGTAGTTTTTCTGGTGTGCCCGGACCTGGCCCAGCAGGATGCGGGCGGCCTCGCGCATGGCGCCGCGCGTTCCCAGGGGCCCCGGCGGGTGCTCGCCCGCCTCCAGCACGTGCGCGGCGGCCTGCAGGGCTTCCTCGGCGGAGGCGAACACCTGCTGGGCGCCCAGGGCTCCAGAGACGCCGAGCAGCGTGGCGCAGAAGTCGGAGAGCAGCGCGTCGTCGCCGCCGCCGTGGTAGAGCGCGAGGGTGTGCGCGTAGGCGAACAGCACGTTGGGCAGCTGGAAGCGCACGAGCGGGGAGGCCCGGCCGCGGCTCAGGCTGGCCAGCGCGGGGATGCGGGTGGGCACCGCGGGCGCGCGGGCCCCGGGGGCATCTCCAGGAGGCGCCTCGCTGGCCGCCGGCGCCGCGGTTTCAGGCGGTGTCCGCTCGGGCGCCGGCTCCGGGGCGTCCCCGCCCGGGGCATCGCCCAGCTCCTCCAGAAGCCGCGGCCCGGCCCCGCGGTCCCACCACCACGGCCGCCACGGGGGCAGCAGCCGCCCGGCCTCGCCGCGGTTCAGCAGCCGCTCGAAAGCCGCCTTGTCGGCCGGGGCCAGTCGCTCCCATAGTCCCGAGAGGCCGCCGGGCGCCGGGCCCGGCCTGAGGCCTGCGTCCTCGAGCTCGTCCTCGGTCTCGCGTTGCTGACGCAGCCGGCGGAGGGCGCCCGCCAGGCGGCTGGGCGAGCCGTGGCGGCCGCGGAGTTCCCCCAGCACCTGGTCGCGGTAGAAGTCCTCGGCGCAGGGGCCGTGCGCCCGGTAGCAGCGCAGCGAGCAGTAGGGCACGTTACAGCGCGGGCAGGTGTAGCGCGCGGGCTGGGCGTCCCCGGCCGGGCAGAAACCGCACGGCCCGGCCGGCTCCATGGCAACCCGCGCCTCGGCGAACGCACACGGCCCGCAGTTCGGCGGCTTCCGGCGCTCCTCGGGCACTTCCGCCTCTTGGGGGAACGAGCGCGCCGTCAAAACTTCCCGAGGGCTCTTGGCAATTTCCGCTCCCGTGGACGCCAAGCCCCACCCCCCAGGCAGCGATTGGGCAGGAGAGCCCCGCCCTGCGCGGTGGAGGTAGTGCGCCAGGCGGGCAGCTCCCCGCAGCTCGCCCCCTAGTGGTTGCCTTTCGCACTACAAAGTACTGCGGCAAATGCGCATTAGCGGATCTTGGGCCACTGAATTGCCTGAGGCCTATGGGGTGAAATGCGTCCAGGGGTCAGAGACAAAGGGGCAATGAAAGTGAAATGAAGGCCAAGATGGGGTACCTAGGGATAAATACGTGACTTTTACTCAGATAATACAAGGTATTTTGAAAGCAGAACTGACAGGAGGTGGGACTGGATGGCTGATGGCTCATCACCCCCATACTAGCCGACTGTAAGCTCCATTAGGACAGGGCCACATCTTTTTGGTGCCCAGCCTGGAATTTGGATTCCCTCTGAAGAAGGAAGTGCCCCCAACTCATGTATTTCCCTACCCAGATTTAGATGGACTTAGCTGATCTGTTCATTTTTTTGCATCCTCCCTACCACTTGCCCCTCCCCTTCTCAGCTCAGACCACCTTAACTGCCAGCTCTCCAGAAGCAGCAGAGAAAAAAATTAGATCACATCATACAAGGGTCCTGCTTAAAACACTTTCACCTACTCAAACCCAAACTCCTCACCATAGTTGACAAGACCCCACAGGATCTGGCCCTGCTCTGTCTTTTGCCAAGTCAGCACTGGACTGGCTCCTGCTTGAAGGGCTCATCATTCCAACTTCCCTAGGATGGTGTCCAGTCATCCTGCTTCCCCCCTTCTCCATAGCACCCTGCTTACTTTCCTTGCGGATTTGTCACTGTCAACTATTTCGCTTTCTTGGGGGAGCCATCATACCTTTTTACAAAGGTCACCAGTGAAATGAAAGCCAAAAAGATTTTCACATTATGTGGCAGCTGTTGACCTTTTTTTTTTTTTTTTTTTAAATCCTTACAGCAACAGAGAGCAGAGATTAATTAGCAGTTCAAATGAACACGGATCCAAACTCAAGGCAAAGTCCAAGGTCTGTGTCCCTGATTGGGGAAATTTTGAATACACCCCTGAGAACAGCATTTCTAGGAACATCAATACAACTCACCAACAATCCTCAGCTGTGACTAGGTTGCAACCAGCCAGTCAGTCGGGTCTGCAAACCAGGTCAGAGGTGCCAATGAAATCAGGCAAAGCTGGGGCAGACCAGACTCCTGCCCTGACTTCACTAAGGCCACACCGGTAGCTGCTGATACATCTACATGAACTTTGCCCCCTCCAGAAAAACCTCCCACCACAATGATTCCTACTATCATCTCTGAAAGAGCAACACCAAAAAATAACAATTTGGTGATTTATCGAGTTCTTTAAGATTGGAGATTTCTCCACTTCTACACGCAAAGGGCTGGCCTGTGGTGACTGATTTTTACATGAAGTCTTTTCCTGTAGTTCACCACCTTTCCCCAAGCCATGGGCCTCGGCTGAGAAAGAAAAACAAGTCCTCACTGTTCTTGTGGTAGATATACCACCAGCCCCAGGAGCCATACCTGTTCTGAGGTCCTGCAAACAAAGATGAGACTAGATGACTGGATGGAATGGCTTTATTAGAGAAGCCAAGGTTACAAAAACTTAAGAGTTGGCATTGGGGCCCTTCTTCTTGCCAAAGGTGGGCACGACATTGACAAAGCGCCGATTGTATTGCATCCGCCGCTTGGCCCGCCCAGTCTTCTTCTTCTTCTTCTCCTGTTTGGCCACCTGGGAAAAGGGAGGCTGATCAGACCCTAGGCGCTCTCTTTCACGCCTCCCTGCAGGCTCACCTCCAGGGAAGACAGGGCATAAGTCAAGGACCTTGACTTAGCTATATGAGCTAAAAACTAAATCCAAAGGATACTACTAATACTTACTTTGGGAGTCTGACCTCTCACTTTCCCAGCACGGGCCAGAGAACCATGGACTTTACCTGTAGTGGGAAAAAGAAAACAGCAAGCAGTTAAGAGAGCAAGAAGGTCCCACAGAGGGCAATCCTCCCCGCTCAACTCAAACCTTTACGGGCAGGATGAGCCTATGGAGTGAGAGCAAAACCAAAAGAATTTCACCACCAAGAATGACTAGTTTGGTGTGTTCTAAGGTTTTATGTCATGATTTCCCCTGACTCTATATATAAGAACTAAAGAATACATCAGATATCTGATCTAACCTCCTGATTTTGGCAGGAAAACTGGGAAATAGGCAATTCACTAGAAAACAACTTAAACACAACACCCGGCCTCAGTCTCTCAATCATCTTTCAAGAATTTACTCTGAGAAATAAAGAGGAAGGAGTACCTCGTACTCCTGAGGTCACTGAATTCCACATCCCACACTCATCTGAGCTTACACGCAACTCAAAGGACGGTTCCCCCCAACTCACCTCCTAGCATGCGGCCCGCTACTTCCAGAGTGGTCAGGGCCTCTACCCCGCACTGGCCTAGGGTTGCCTCATCCTCAAGGGGAGTGCCTGCCAGGAGCACGACTTGGTCTTCCGGGGCGATGCCCTCCAGCGAGGCTACCTGAGCCTATTGGGGAAAATAAAGCTCATAAGCGGTCTTGCGGGGGGCGAGGTGGAAGAACCCGGGGATGGAAGTCAAAGATCATGACTCAGCCTTACCTTGATCTGGGCGACCGTCTCCCGGCCGGTCACCTCGAGGGTGTGGAGCTCCTGGGCGCGGACAAAGAGCTGCATGTCGGCGACTGAGGAAAGAAAGGTTTCTATAATAACCGCTCTGGGAGAGAAGAGGTCGGTGAATGGGTGGGGGCAGGAGATGATCTCGCCAGGGTGTAGGTGGTCGCGGGATCTCACGTGGGCAAAGGCGGGTCTTCCAGGGAAGTCGGGGGGACCGAAGCCCGGCCCACAAAGCAGCCCCACTTCCTCTACTTTGCCCGCGCCCTATGATATCGCTACCAGTCGGCTATTAAGCTCTCCGAAGGCAGCCGTGGCCCAAATCTTACCTGAGCGCGGTCACAGCTGCCGCTGCCGCGAAGATGGAGTCGGGAAAGAGGAAGGAGCGAGGGCGGGCACGTCTTCGCCGACTCCTGCGTGCTACGTCACTGCAGAGCGACCGCAACGGTCTCTGGTATTTCTACGGCCCACGTCCGCCCTAGCTCCGCCCCTTTAGCTTTACGCATGCGTTTATTTGGCCCAGCAGTTGCGCGCCGGAAGGAGCGGGGGGGGGCGGGGGAGGGGAGTCGTGTCGGCTGCGCGCGCAGACTAGCTGAAGTAGGCGGTCCAAGATGGCGGCGGTCATGTTCGCGGCTGCTCGACGGGGTGGGAGAATCGGCGTCCAGCCGGCCTGCGTGTTACGGTACCTGGTGAGAGCGCGAGCCTGGAGTCAGGGCAGAGGACTGGGTGTGGGAGTCTTTGTAACCCTGGAAAATTGTAACTGAGGCCCGATTTAGGGCCTTAGTTTGCCTTTTAATGGGGAACACTTGTCTGGAGCTCAGATACATGATTAAGAGAGGTGCCGGGACTGTAGCACGCTTGGAGAGTGCGAGGGTTGGAACCACCCGAGTTAGCCTGAACTTAGAGGGGCTGCTCGTCGACTCTCGCAACCTTACTTTTTGAAGGGGAAACCGCCCTGGATCGTTGGGCGACACTTCTGGGAACCTAGGACTCCCGGGTATCATCTGTTGGGAGAAGCGTCCGAGAAGGATCTTAGGCAGGAGGTTCGGAGGACAGACTCCAGAGTGTGACCTGGAGTAGATGGCTCACTAATGTCTTAATTTTTCTTGAATGTGAAAAAAGGGGTAATACCGGTTTTGACTCATTATAAGGATTAAGTGCATGTCCATAAAGCACTTAGGACAGTGCCTGGGGGTGCCTATGTGATACCGGGTAATGTTTCGGGTAAGGGAGGGTCTCATTGTATGAATGGGAGTGGAAAATTATCGCAAAAAAATTATTGCTAAAAGTTTCTAACTCAAAACTAGAATGTTTCAGTAGAATGTTCAGAGGAAACTTTTTTTTTTTAAGATTTATTTTATTATGCATCCAAGAACTGGGTATAGACCAGAGGTTTGGGGGGCGGGGTGTGTGAAAGGATTCACCAGAGACAGAGTGGGGAGGAGAACAGGCAGGTTGACTAAAATACACTGCTAAGGGGAGCAGCGGTTGAGAAAGGAGAGGTCTGCTACATCTTGTGGGTTCGCTCCCTGGCCAGGGATTGAACTCGTGCTGCAGATAGCTTCTTTTTTTTTTTTTTTAAGATTTATTTTTATTTATACAAGAGCTGGGGTACAGGCCAGAGTCGTGGGAGGTTGAGAGAATTCACCAGAGACGGATCGGGATGCAGAACAGGCAGAAGGACTGAGGGCACTGCTGAGGGGAGCAGCAGGCGAGAAAGGAGAGGTCTGCCTCACCGTGTGGGATTCTCCCTGGCCTCGGGAAACCGAACCAGCACTGCGGAGGCTGCAGACAGCTTCACATCGCGGTGCTCAACCCACTGCGCCACTGGGAAGGCCTGCAGATAGCTTCATTTTCCTGAGACTTGACCCGTTGGGTCACCAGGGAGGCCCTTCAGAGGAAACCTTAATCCTAGAAAATGCCATATTGTCAGACTTATGGGTTAATTAGCTTTTCTTAAATATGCACAGACTTCTCATTTGCATCCTACAGAAATTCTAAGAGAGGACCCCTGGCAATTTGAAGTCTGGTGCTTTCCTATCTCTAACCTTTGATTTATGCCATTCTCTCTGCCTGTGATATTTCCCTCCTCTGTTTACTAAATCCTGCCTATCCTGTAGTGAGTGGGTGAGCTGATAAAGATATGTTTTTATTTTTGTTTTTGCCTCAGAGCCAGACCCAGGGAGCTCCAGATTACCCCAGCTTCGTGGAGTCTGTGGATGAATACAAGTTTGTCGAGCGCCTGTTACCCCCCACCAACATCCCAAAACCCCTAAAGCATGAACGTTGTCCCACTCCTAGTGGCTGGCAGCCCCCTAGAGGTGAGCCGGGTGATGGGGTTGGCTTGAAGGCTTTTGAGAAACATCCATCAGGAATTGTGTTGAGATCCCTCCGGACTGGTGTCTGTACTATGTTCCAGCTCCAGGAATGAAGCTCTGTTTCGCTGATACCCATCCACTGTGCTGTTGGGATGAGATCTCCCTATACAGGCGAAGTGAAGCACAGAGAGCGCTAAGAGTTTGAGTTCCCCTGATCCGGCCCCCAGGAAGCTATGTGCCATAATTGAGAACATAGCTTGGAAGTCTGGGCAGTTCTGGATCCAAACTGTCTGTGATGTTGAGTTAGTCACTTAGGTTCTCCCTGGCTCAGTTGCCGCAAAATGGCAATAATCCCATCAACACATAAAGCATTCAGTGCATATACCTGGGGAGACAGAGGGCTTTGTGCTTGCCTGCCCCACGCCCCTAACCTACCCCCGGATATCTGAACCAACATTGACTTTTTTTAAAAAAAGATTTATTTATGCATACGAGAACTCGGGTACAGGCCAGAGGTGTGGGGGGTGAGAGGATTCACCAGAGACAGAGTGGGGAACAGAACAGGCAGAGCTACTGAAATACACTGCTGAGGGGAGCAGCGGGCAAAACAGGAGAGGTCTGCTGCGCCATGTGGGTTGCTCCTTGGCCAGCCGGGGATCAAACTCGTGCTGCAGTGGCTGCAGATAGCTTCATAGGTTGCATCCTAACTCCTTGAGCCACCAAGGAGGCCCAACATTGACTTTATCTTTTTTGTTTAATACAAGAACTGAGGTACAAGCCAGATATGCGGGAGGGTGAAAGGATTCACCAGAGACAGAGCGGGGAACAGAACAGGCAGACTGACGAAATACACTGCCAAGAGGAGCAGTGGGCGAGACAGGAGAGGTCTGCTGTGCCATATGGGTTTCTCCCCGGCTGGCTGGGATCGAACCCACGCCACAGAGGCTGCGGACGGCTTCACAGTGCAACGCTCAACTGCCTGTGCCACCAGGGAGGCCCCAACATTGACTTTTTTAAAAGGGGCTGTGTAGGTTTGGGTAGGACCACATTGTCATTGGCTAAGGGCCATATACATAAAAAAATAATAATAAAAACACTCAGTGCAGAGCCTGGTGTGTGGTTGGTATTCAGTGCCTGTGAGTCCCCATCTAGAGATTGATTTAGCCACTGGAACAGTAGAGAAAGGTGAGGATTAGCCTCCAAGGAGGCCCCAAAGATTCACAAAGATATGACCCAGACTTCATTTCTGCTTGAAGACCTGGTGCCAGGCCCCATGCTGGGGCTTGGGATACCAAGGCGAACAAGCTGGGCTTGCCTCTAAACTTAGTGGAGAGCAGGTCTCCTGACCTGAATCTGGCAGTGATTTTGCTTTTGGGTCACTGACCCATTGGAGACTGAGGGGAAGCCCTTGGCTGCAGTGGGATGAAACCTGGGAAGAGTTGGCTTATCACAGTGCCTCACTGTCACAGACCCCCCACCCAACCTGCCCTATTTTGTGCGGCGTTCTCGGATGCACAACATCCCTGTCTACAGGGACATCACGCATGGCAACCGGCAGATGACCGTGATCCGGAAGGTGGAGGGGGACATTTGGGTAAGTGGATGGGTTGGAATCTGATCCTGACCCTTTCAGGCTGAAGGGATGGGTTCTTCTAGAAGAGGATTCCTGACCAACCTGCTTTGTTACTCTTTCCCAGGCCCTGCAAAAGGATGTGGAAGATTTTCTGAGCCCACTGCTAGGGAAGACACCCATCACCCAGGTCAATGAGGTGACAGGTACCCTGCGCATCAAGGGCTATTTTGACCAGCAGCTCAAGGCCTGGCTCCTGGAGAAGGGCTTCTGAGGCCCAGCTGAGCAGCCTGCATGTCAGCATCCCTATAGACTGGAGTCTAGGGGATCTCAGGAGGGAGGAGGTGGGTGTTTGGGGAACGGGTTACAAAGACCAGGGCAAAGGGCTTGGGCAGGGCAGAATGAGGGCTAATGGGCTTCAGGAGTTGGGACCCTCCACACAGGAGCCAGCACTAGGGAGGGGTCCCAAACATTGGAGACCCTCCAGGAACTGCCCAGCTAGTGAGCAGCAGTAGCTGTTTTCTGCCTTCAACTCAACTGTGACCTGTTGGCTGCTTTCCCTTCACTGGAGCCCCTCGGGAGCAGTTATTCAAGTTCTAGAGGTTGTTGATGCCTCCTTCAGTGGAAGCAACAGGCTGAAGTTGGGAGGCACAGGGCAAATGCATTGGACACATTCCCTCCTCAGCCCTCAGCCCCATGTTGTGGGAAACATTTCTGGGTCCTTGTTTTGCATGATAGCATCCCCACAGACTGGAGTCTAGGGGATCTCAGGAAGGAGACCTGACTTGGTGGCAGCAGTGAACACTGAGGGCCCAGATGTGGGTTCTTGAGGCCTTCAGTTCTAAGCACCATGTCAGACCCTGGACTTTCTACCCACAGAGAGGTGGAGGGCCCAGTCACCTCTGCCCTGTTCCAGAACAGTTGGCCTGACTGGGTTGCCTACGCTGGGGAGCTTAGTAACTAGCTTTGGTTGGTCTGCCTGCTGGCGTGTGTCTTAAGCTCCTAGCAGCCTCCCAGGGTCGGCCTTCCCAGCTTACCCACCTGGCATTGAAGGGCTTTTTAGGTGGAGATGCTGGCCTGTTATCTGGCCATCCCATCACCCCCAGCCAGTGAACCTTTCCACCTGTCCCAACCTTGGAGTCACAACCCCCCACCCCAGAGTGAAACTTGCTAAGGTGGGTCAAGAACCTGACTCCCCCCACCCCCAAAAAAAAAACCTGACTTCATCTTTGACTCAAGGCAGGCACTTGATCTCTCTGGGGCTCAGTTTCATGTGAAGTGGCTGTATCTTCCTACCGGTGGACTTGTAATCAGTGCTGGCTTATCCCAAACCCTCCCTCCTGGAGACTCCAGGCCAATCTCAATTCTATGACATCAACTCCACCAGCTGTTAATGCAAGTTTTTATTTGGCTGTATATACAGTTTAAGCTATTAAAATTTGTACAATATTTACAAATTAAATAATCATCTGAAACTGTCGTCAGCAACTCTTGTAACACAAAACTGGGGTGGGAGAGGCCTGGGCAGGCTGGCAGGAGCTCCCAGGCCCACCTGGCCCAGAGCCTTTTCTAACCTGGAAGATCAGGAGCCTGGCACTTCTCTTCCCTGGGTTCAAGCATTCAAATTCAAAGCCCAAATTTAATCCAAAAGACAACAGCAAGGAAGTAATTCCAACTCTTCTAAACTCAAGAAAGTTCTGAGTTGAGAAGCGGTCTTCTGTAGGTTCCGGGGCTTGCAGTGGTTCAGGAGCAGACACGAACCCTCGGCCTGCAAGGAGGCTGGGCAGTGGCTGCTGGGTGAGACCAGGCACAGCCTCACCTAAGACAGACTGCAGGGGTCTGGGGCGAGGGAGGGCAGGGTCCCTCAATGCTGCCCACCTGCCCCTCCACCCCCAGGCACTCCTTCCCCTGAGTTATGTAGTTGCCGGTAAGATGTGGAAATGCCACAGGGCATAAAGGGGACAGCCACCACCACAAGGGCTGCTGGGTTGATAGGGCAAGAAAAGGAAATCCGGTAGCAGTCTTGGTGGGTGGGCAGGGCGCAAGCTCCTAACCTGCCTCCAGCCACACTTGGGAACAGGAGCTAATACTGTTCGGCACTGCAGCAGGCCTCCACACCATGGGCTCAGGGCTGCCCCTCCCCCAGAAAGGGGTGAGGAGGAGGGGGCTTCTCAGAGGTGGCGCCTCCACCTGCATGGCCCTGGCAGAACCCAGGGCTGGAGAGCAAGACTGGAGCTGACCCGGGACACGCACAGCAGCCCGGGACTGTTAAGGACGCAGTCTTCTGGGGCTTTGGGCCTCGGGCCTCTTTCCACCTGGCCTGGAGGTGCCGCCGCCTCTGTCTCAGAGCTGGGGGCTACTACTCCCTGGTGCAGAGAGAGGGAGCTGGCACTTGGTGGCAGGACGCGTTCCAGCGAGGGCTGCTTACGAGAGTGGGGGCAGGGGCCAGGACTGGGGCAGTGTCAGTGGGCAACGGGCGACTCCAGCTTCTGCAGGCGACGGCGGCGGAGTTCTGCTGCATCAGGCTCCCCGTCCTCAGGCAGGTCTTCAGTGCCCACAGACTCAGGAGCTGGGGACAGGGAGCAGAAATGGAACCCCCAGAGATGGGCCTGGGCCCCCCCCCCCAACCCAGGCTGACCTCACCTACCTGGAGGCTTTTCAGGTTCAGGGGCAGGTGGGGAGACTCCTGGCAATGGGGTGGCGGCCTCCGAGCTGGGGGTGCTGGTGGAGGAGGCAGCAGCAACAGCTGTCGAGGCAGTCTCTTCAGTGGGGTTGGCTGAGGTGGCAGGCCGGGGAGGCCTGGGAAGAAAAGGGACAAGAGGTGGACGAGGCCTTGGCATCCTGATGAGACGGGGCTTGGCTGGTTTTGCTGAGCCTCGCAGGCAGGGTCCGCTGGCCATGTCTCCGCAGCCCCAGGGACGCAGGCACAAGTCATGTTCTGTGCCACAGACTGAAAACCTCGCCGGCAGCGCCTGCAGCTGTGCCCACTCTTACAGTCTCCACCCTAAGGTGTCTTTATAGGGGCCCCACACCCAAGTCACAGAGCCGTTCAAGTCTGGGACTCAAGCTTCCCTCCAAGCCTGTCTTGTCCCTGACGGCCACCAGGCACCTTGTACGGTGACCTGGGTGTGGGAGCCAGAACACCTCTGTTCAGACAAGGTTGTGGTGGTCACAGCGCACAAGCAGGTCCAGGAGTTGACCTTGGACCAGCATGGTGCCAAGTGACTGTCATCTCAGGTCAAGGACAGTGACTCAGTCACAGTGTCCACGGAAGCCAGAAGAGGGCTATGTGGTAAACGCAAGCACTGCAAATTATAAGAAATTTGAAAGTGTAGAAAAACAAAAGGAACGAAATCCGAGGTCAGCCCTCTAGACACCACTGCTCGGATGGAAACGGGCCTTCTGCAGTGGGAGGAGAAAGGCCCCAAGAGCTGAGAGACCCGGGCTGCCCTCGGGGAGGTGGCCTGCATCGGCAGGTGTCACGGGGTGGCAGAGGAGACGAAGCCCGAGAGCCAGGCCTGGCCGCCTGGCAGCAGCCCCGCCCACCCCTGCAGACGCACCCCAGGGAGGCGAGCACAGTGAGGTACTGGTTGATCTGCAGCATGGCGGCGTCCAGCAGCGTGTGGATGTTGCGCAGGCTCTGCAGCCGGGCCTCTAGGTGCTGCCGCTCATGGCCCTCTAGCGCACGCAGCTCCTCAGGGGTCAGGCCAGCAAAGCCGGCGGGGGGTACAGGCATTGGGGGGAAGGCTGGAGAAAGGCAGAGGCTCAGCCAGGGCTCCCGGCCCTGACACCCCAAGCTGCCAGCACCACCCTGGTTGGCCCAGCTTACCAAAGGGGGGAGGCAGTGGCATGCCCATCCAGGGAGGAGGGAAGGGGAAGCCTGTGGTGGGGCCTGCCTCGGGGGCAGAGCCAGGTGCCTGGGTGGAGGTGCCAGCTGTGCTAGTGGCTGCTCCGCTGGGCCGGGACAGTGCTGGGGAGAACAGGACAAGGTCAGTGAGGGCTGTGGGGCTCTGCTTCCAGCCCCCAGTTCCCGCTACCACCATGCCCATGGGCTCACCTGCAGTGGTGGACGAAGGGGCTGCAGCCTCTCCTGAGCTGGGGGGTGGCGGGACAGGTGGAAATGGGCCCATGGGGGGCCACAGTGGGAACATGCCTGGAGGAAAGGGGGGCAGGAGGCCCTGGGGAACTGCAGAGAGAAGATGCGGTGGTGAGTAAAGGTCCAGAGACAGACCCAAATGGTAGGCAGGGCCCGGCTGCTGGGCGCCATCCGTGCACTCCCAGGCCTCGGAGCTCAGCAGACTGGAATCAGCTGTGCCACTTCCCGAGCGCCCGCGCCCCCCAGGCTCTGACTGCCCTCGGGATTTCCCACACCCAGCTGAGGGCAAGCACTCAACAGCACGCTGCATGGCCACACGAGTGGGGGGAGCACTCACAGTTGGGGGGCTGCGGCAGGAGCGGTGGTGGGTGGGGGGCAGGCGGTGGCCCCTGGTCCGCAGGCTCGGGGGGCGGTGGGACTGCGCGGGTAGCGAGGCCCGCAGGACATCCATGCGGCAGGTTGGACAGGTCTGCTGCCGCTGGAACCAGGAGCGCAGGCAGCTGGGGGTCAAGACCAGGCACTGGTCAGCCAGTGCCCCGGGGGGTGGGGAGCCTGCCGGCCGGAGCCTGTCCCCGGGCCACCCCAGGCCCACCTGGTGTGGAAAATGTGGCTGCAGGGCAGTCTCTTGGCGCCGGTCACCATCTCTTCTCGGCAGATGATGCAGACGTTGTCCACGGCCTGCAGCTCCTCCGGGGTGGCATCTGGGTACCTGGGCAGGCCAGGCCAGGCCGTGTCAAGACCACGGCGGGAGACTGGGGCACCGAGGGCAGAGCTGGGGGAGCGGCCAGGACAGGCCCACTTACAGTGTGTTCATGTTGCGAATGGCGCGGCGAGACATGATGGCATCTGTCACTGCTTTCTTGAACTGCCTGGAAGGACCCTTAGGGTGAGCGTGGCAGAGGAAAGGGAGCGGGAGTGGGGGGGGGGGGCGGGGGGGGGGGGCTCACCTCATGGCCAGGTACATGGGCCGGATGGCGAAAAGCGGGAACGTGTGCACCTTGATCATGATGGTCATGAAGGCCATGTACAGCAGGACCTTGATGAAGCCTGGCGGGGTGCAGAGAGCGGTGGTGATGGACTCTGGGAGGCAGGCGGGGGACCCCGGTCCGGGCCCTCGACCAGGCTGCCCTCACCTGTGAACAGCTCGGTGTAGAGCATGTACACGGCCTTGTTGTCCCAGGGGTTGTCGCTCTGGAGGTCCACGGAGTGCAGCACGTACTTGATGAAGATGGTGAGCACCATCGTCATCAGGATGGCGTACTGGGGGGTGCGGGGGGACATCAGCACCAGCCCCACCTCATGCCCACGGCTCTGCTCCTGCTCCCCCAGCTCCTCCACTCACTAGCTGGGGGCACTTCTCACCACTCACTAGACCTCGCCAAGCTGAGGCTGCTGGTGGGCAAAACAACCACCAGCTGCCCTTTTACAGCCAGGTGGTTTTGCAGATTAAGAGATGCAGGTCGGGTGCCTGCACAGGGTGCCTGCACTGGCTGTGGTCACTGAACACACTCCCAGCCCCTGGGCACACCTCCCAGCTGTCCTCCTGTCGCTCCACAGCCAGTTCCCCTGGCATTGACTTCTGGGGCGCCTTCCCTGAGCACCAGGTCAGAGGCCTCCTTTTGGTGCTGCCCCCACCCTCCTTGGAATCAGCACGTAAAGGGCAGGGCTGGGCCCGGCTGACCGCTGCGCCTTAGGGGCCCACACGGGCTGGCCCGAGAGCAGGTGCTCTACACGGGTTGACTGGGTTCATGCGATGCGACCTCAGGCCAGGCCTCCCGACCTCCCAAGCCAATTTTACCTCAAAGCCAAACACCAGCTGCACAGAGGCCCCACGGGTCAGGATACTGTGATAGGCATGGCTGACGAAGAGGAAGTCCAGGATACCCAGGAGGCACATCAGGGCTGTGGGGACCCCCCCAAGTGGGGGGTTAGAGGGGTCAGCCCAGGGCCTGACAACCACTTCCTGCTTGCTCTAAGACAGCTCCCACCCTCAAGCCCTGCGTGGCCCCAGCCATCTAGTTGGGTGGGCACACTTCACTGACGCCGGCCCCGTGGGAACCCCACTTCTGCCCACGCAGGTGAGGGACCAGAGCTCAGGGCCCGGACAGTTGAGAAGCCCTGGGGTGGAACAGCAGAGACGATGCAAATGAACTTCCTAAATTATCTTTCCTGTACAGCTGTGGGCCGCGGGGGCTGCCGTGCGTGGGGAGTGACTGCTCGTGTTCCAGTCCCGGGGGGGTCTCTTCTCCCTCCAACACCCTCCTCTCCCCCCAGGAATCCCACTCACAGACGATGCGGCAGTGAAAGAGCCAGGAGATGTTGGGGCTGCGTTCCATCTGAGGCAGAACAGAGAGGGGCCCGTCAGGAAGGCTGGGGCTCTCCCCAACCCTCCCCGGTCCACGAGCCGGCCTGCCAGTCACTCCCTGGCTTCCGTCTGCTCTAGAGAACCCGCAACCCAACTCACAAAGTCTACGCGGTCCTCAGCCAGCCAGTGAAAACACTTGAGGAAGAGGAGGAGAGTGAAGAGTGCCACAAAGCGGGGGCTGAAGTCATCCCGAAAGACAGTGAAAGCCAGACAGGTCTCAGTGACAGCATACCAGGAACGTTCCAGAAGGTGCTGGGGGTCAGACATAGGATGATGTAGACATTCTGCTTGTCCAGCACCCTGGCCCTCATCCTTGGGGCAGCAACCATCTTACCTCCATCTCTGCTGCCCTCAGCTGTCCAAAGAACACCTTGCCCATCACCTTGCCCAAGAGGAAGACAAAGACGAAGGCCTGGATGTACAGGACCTGGGGAGAAGGGAGGGGAGGCACAGGTGTGGGGCTTGCTCTGCCTTGGACTCTTCATTCAAGGGCCTCCCCACAACCTCCTGACAACGCACTTACAGCGAGGAAGCCCGCGGCTTCACCTCTACTTACCTGGGCTGTGAAGCCCCACCCCTACTCCTCCCTCCCTCCCAGGGAGCTCCTTCCTCCCCGAACTCACGGCCATGCTGGGGCTGGACTTGGTCAGGTACACCACAGTGGGGTAGAACTGGTGCTTGAGGTAGTAGGCATGGGCCACCACGGCCCCGGTCAGCGCC